GACACCTGTCATTATTCACCGAGTGTCGAATAACTCATTTGCTGAAAAGAAAGAGGAAAGAATAGAAAGAAAAGAAAAGAAAAGAAAAGGAAAAAAAAGAAAAGGAAAAGTGCGCGATCGCGCTTGAGACTCTTCCGATCGGGCTTGTCGTCGCTTTATCGGCTTTACGAAGAAATAATAAAGAGACTCTGACACGAACAGATACGGACGATATCGCGCTCGCGTCGAGTGCCTTATGTACGAAGCGCTCGCGCGCCGGTTCGTGTTGCGATTTCGTGTTGCGTGAAAGACGATAATCGTGATTGGCAATTACGGCCTGGAGGACGAGGAAAAAAGGGGCGGAAGAGTGGAAAAAAGAAGACCGCGCGACCAGGTCGGAAAGTGCGTCGTCGTCGTCGTCGTCGTCGTCGTCGTCGCCAGCGGATCGCCAGCGCGAGCCCGCATGCAAATTGGGGCTTAATTTGTTCGTTAGCGCGCGCGCGCGCCCACTGAAGAAAAGTTAAATTAAACCGGCGGAGATTCCGCGGCTAAGTTCGTCGGGACGATCTACATGTACGTGTGTACGGGCCGTGTCCTTAAAATGTAAGCGTAGCTCGCGCACTCAACTCTCGTTGTTATACTCATCGAAACTCGATGAAAAAAGTTGTTCCTTCCTACGCGCACGCGTATCATAAGAGATCATAAGATACTTGGCGGGTAACAGAGCAGTCTTCTTTCATCTCGACACTTTGGTATTTTCTTCACATTTTTCTCTTCGAAATTTTCCTCACACCGAATGATGCGTCGGTTGACACAACAAAAATCATCAACACTGTGTGTATCGCTCGCTAAAGACGACACCTGCACCTGTGTGCAGAATTTTGACCCTAAGCAGCGGAAGACAATACAATATATATAACTCTCGGGCAACTCTCGGGAAAATGCTTTAACGTCACAAATAATTAAACACCGAAGTAAACGTTCGCGGTGCAGCGCGGAGAGCGCGGCGCGCGATATTTCGCAGCGGCGTATAACAGTCTCGCGGTGAAATGAGAAAACGCTGGCACGCCCGAAGTGGGACTCGAGTGTGTGCATTAAGATACACACAACTCGTATAACGTGTCCTCCAACGCGCGCGTTCCACGGTAACCCACAAAGCGCCGCTCCTAGAAGCGCGCCGTTTCCTCAAAGAAAACCTTCGATACGAGAAACGATTGCGTCGTCGCACAATGCGGCGAAAGCAATTATTGCCGCTGCGCTCGTTCGTGAACGGAAAAGCAAGCAACGCCGCGCGCGCGCGCGCGCGCGCGACAAGAGTCGCAAGCGAAATGACGCGGCGATGACCGTGACGCGCGCGCGCGTGCGCGCGCACGCGTTAATACGGTCGCCTTTGTGAGCGAACGAGCTCGGGAATTTCAGGTGAACGTACGTAATTCAGGTTCACGCGCGCTTTTAATCGTTCGCCGCATGCGCGGCTTCGGCTCGCGCGAGTACGCGAGATAGCTTTGCGCGCACTTTGCGCAAAAAGGACACGCGCAATTATCCTCGGCAACTACCCTATGATATTGAAACGCTCAATTTCTTATGATATTCAGAAAGGTTCACAGCGCTACGTAAATACGCGTACATTACATTTACTTTCCTCTTGCTTACTTACGCGGACCCTTTATGGAGAATAACCCTTTTAAGAGAAAGATCCGCGTGAAAATGGACCAAAGTGGAACTCGGACGGGTTGCATAAATGCAATATTTCACGCATATTTCGAAACATTAACATAACTGTAGAACTTGCATGTACATAGCTTGCCTCTCCTCGAATTCACGATAGGTCACGACGATAGGTCATTTGTGCCGTGTATAAAAATCTCGAGTGTAAAAATCACTTGTTCAGGTAATTGCGCGACAACCATTTGTTTTAATAACCGCGATATTAGATCGCGGAAGATCTAATAACACGCAATTTTTGTTGAACATATTTGGTGGACGTTTTCAAATGGTGGTTTTCATTTCGATGGAGGATGAAGGAAGACGATAAAATGAACGGGAGGGAAGAGAGAGAGAGAGAGAGAGAGAGAGAGAGAGAGAGAGAGAGAGAGTGTGACGAAAGTATTAAACGTGCCAAATGCCATAATGATGTGCCGATTAATTCCTGTCGCGTTTTATAATCGCTCATGCATAGAAAACTGGGTAACGCGCAAGCAACATCATCGCATTTAATCGTGATGCAACCAAGTGCGGTTTAATTATCATGCATTACCTGTATTATCTATCAATTACGCGAATGCGAACATAGAAATTGTTCCCAGCGGTGCGCGACCCCGGCTTTCCACGCACGACGAAAGGTCATCCGACCGGATGAAAATTCGCCGCTGGAAATCCCTCGGTTTTTTTCTTCTAATTACAAACGCACATGTGTATTTTCGCAAAAAGTGCTCGAATAACACGATCGCTCGCTAGTAAAAAGAAATCGTCACGGAATAACACGCGTTCTGCTTAACGACGATGGTTATTTTACAACCAGACTGTCCAGCTTTTCCAATTTTCTCCGCAGCAAATAACCAATTTCGCGATAGCAGTCCATTGTGACTTTTTTTCGGTACCGGAAGAACGGTAGCAAGATAAATATACCAGCTTAGATCGATTGAATGGCATAACGCTTGACTAAACACACATCTATCGCACAACGATCGCATCTTTGCTGGTATTTTATCATCATCGTTATCCTCTCTCCGAGCTATTGAGTATGCAGCAAAAAAAAAAATATATATATATATACACATAAATAAACAGAAAGAAAAATATTTTATTGACGGGGAAAAAGAGCGCATCGAATAATAACCTCATATTAATATGTAAAATCTATTTGCCGATATTCCAATTAAATTTGAATCTAAAATTGGGCGGCTCAAAAAGTCATTATTATTTGCTCTATATCTCTATACGCATATAATTGAAAATAATCCGTCCACGTTTACCGCGATTAGATTTTTGTCAAATTTAAAAATCATAATAGTTGCAAATTCCAAATATCATTCCCGCTATAATTTTCTCAATAGACAAAATGTCAATCTTTATTTCTCGCACGGAGAGAATTTATTTATTTATTTTAATCCTTATAAGTATGTAAACACGACGCGATACGTCATAGTGTCGTCGCGTACATATCAGTCTTGCCGCAATGACGTGTGATATATAAATAAAATGAAATAAATGATAAATAATTACATTTTTCGCACAAAATATAGTTAACCGCCGTTAAATAATTCGAGCGACCGTTTCGTCGCGACGGTCAGATTTTTCTCTCGAGTGCGAATTTAGGTCAAAAACTCGAGAGCGCTGCCGGCGCTGTATAGCTTTTAGTTTATGTTCGTGCTAATGGTTTATTGACGGCGACCGACGCGCGTTCAAGTTTCGACGTTTCTGCAGTGTAAGAAGATTACAACGTAACTTGCTGCGAAGTCGGCAAGCACGTCATCTCGGTGCACTTCCACCGACTTGGCGATAAAGATACGCAACGGTTGACGCAATCTTGTTACACCGGTAGAAACAATTCTACGTATTTCGTGTCAGCGGAATAAGACCGACACATCCAGTCGGAACACCCAGTTTGCGAGAACATCGGAATCAATTGGTACTTACCGCATTCATTTTCGTAGAGTTGTTGTGAAAAAATATGAACACGTTCGGAAAGAAGAGAAAATAAAAATTTTGCAGAGTGCGCGACACAAGAGTTGATGTTACCAAAAATATTCACACGCATCGACAGATTGTCATATGTATAACAAATATTTTTCGTAAAAATATTCCAATTTCATCAAAATTTACTACGATGACGAGATATGTGATAACATTGCATTTCTGAAAATCATGTAATTTAATTGCTCTCGTAAATTCCGTCCATCAAATACTACGGTTTTAGGGGAACTGTTACATTTCTGAGTCTCGCCAGTCTCATTCCGAAGACGCGATTTATCAGCGGTGAAGACAGCGAACCCGAGTTTCCATTTAATCACACCAGTTGTACACGTTGCGCGCCATTTTTCTTATACCAAGAGACGCATACTCTCTCTCTCTCTCTCTCTCTCTCTTCCCCTATCTGTTTGAAAGAACTTGTCCGGAAACGGAAAAACGGATCCGTTTCTTTTAAATATTACCGTTCCTAAATGCGATTAAACGCACGTATGACAGACACGTGTGCAAAATTTATTGAACGTACAACGATTCGAATCTCATTCGATTCTCTGACTTCTCAACGGAGAAAACTGGCGTGTGTACACTTTATTAATACATGAAAAATCGAAGGGACGTTACATCTCTGAATCAATATTGGCAAAACGCAGTATGTAGAATTTGTCATTTTTTTTCCACCGATCTCAATTGTGCGTACACGATGTGTACACGCGTTTCGCTTATTTATTATTCATGACACGCATCCACAAAACAAAAGATGTTTATGATTCACAAGCGCATTTACAAACGATCTAAATCGTATCAATTATTCATTTCTGGCCTGACTATTTACCGGCATAAATACTTAGTAAAAAAAGTACTTACGTCACGTTTCTTATTCGAATCTTAAAACATCGGCCGACTGTCTACCATTCTCTAATTCGGCAGCGTATTATTATACTGCGCTGCCGACGAAAGTCACAATGTGTATATTCCCGAAAACAGTGCCACACAGTATTGCGTACACAAGAGATGCAGCAAATTGATATTTTATCAACGATCGATTTCTGTTTAATCGATTTTTTATTATCAATATTACGTCCAAACAATAAGCGGGTTCCCGCTGCTACACGACGCAGCGATACTGATGGGAAGTAATGCGGGCAGAGTTTATACGGTCACGCACCTTTCGTTCCTTATAAATAAAAAAGAAAATAAAAAAAGGAAAGAAACGGTCACCTCCTACTATGTACAGAGAAAATTTCAGCCGCGGTAAGAAACTCGTTGGGAAAAATGGCGGCGACGCGCGAAATTGGATCGCAGTCTTCGCCGGGAGGTTTTTGCGCACTCACCTATTCCGCTGGCGGGCCATCGTTTCCAGGAGATCCCAAAGAGCCGCATGGTCGAATGTCGTTTCACAAAGACCCGAAACGCAACGCGCCGCGGTCTGGTTTGGGGCTGGCTGGCTGGCTGGCTCGCTGGCTCGCTCTCTCTCGCTCGCTCGTTCGCTTTTCCCTTACGCGGCGAACAGCAGCAGCTGTTGAGCTACAGGCTGTCGCTGAGACCGCATACGATCCCGCGCGCGATTTCACGTATACACCGTTGCAGTCGTCGTCGTCGTCGTCGTCGTCGTCTCGTGATATCACGCGTGTGCGCGCGCGCGCGCACACACGCGTGAACGGAATTACCGGTGAGGTGAGAGGAGTAGAAAGTCTTAGAACGCCGGTGTCGTCACCGAGACTTTTCGTCGTAAAGTGAGTAAGCGAGTGTGAGCGAGCGAGAAGAGGTGCGTCGCGCGCGCGCGCGCGCGCGCCACCGAACGACGGTGAATCGTCCTGTAGCTCGTGCGATCCCTCTTCCTGAACCTGTTCAAGGACAGACGACGCGCTTGCGTCGTAAAAAAAGGACGCCCAGCAGACCGCCGCGACGTGTTTTCTAAGCATTCGTCGATACGATATATATTCGTCGGTACGACAAATACGCGATACACGGATAGCTTGCCCGCACGGACACGTTGGAGCAATTTTGGCCTCCGCAAAAGTTGCAATACACGGTCGAAAGCGAGCTGAGCTCTTCGGTATAACGAAAATTTTACCGCTGACTGAATGTTTCCTGTGGGCGACTTTATTCTTGTTTTTTCGCGAGAGAAAGTTGGAAACGCCGCGAGTTCACGGAAACGGAAATTTAATCTGAAAGAGAGTTGAAAAAGTCCGGTTTCGACCGCAGCTTACGGGAAGGGGAAGGGGGAAAGGGCGAATTAACACAGCTGAAAATTGAATTCTCGCGAAATTTCGTAATCAAGCGTCGATGCTATTCCCCGCCGGACGGACTGTGATTCTTCGCGATATCCACCGCGGCGAGAGTGGATTCTCGGCAAGAGTTTACGATCAGGAATCGATCGCGCGGATCGTTTGCGCGGATGTGAAGCACGGATTGGCTTCGTGCCAAGCCGATAATCGCGGATCAATCTCTCTCTCTCTCTCTCTCTCTCTCTCTCTCTCTCTCTCTCTCTCTCTCTCTCTCTCTCTCTCTCTCGTCATATAAAGAAAGCCAAGTTGTTCAGAGAACGGTTCTTAGCGGCTTCTCAGATTCTCACCCGTGATGCGTATACGATAAAGTCGGAGACTGTCTGAGGAATATATTTCTGGCTCGTCCACAAGTTATCGATGATTTGCGAAACTAGAGCAGATTCCTGAGATGAGAAAAGTAAGAGAAACTGCTGAAACAAAAGTTGCAAAGTATCGGCATTCTTCACGGGACTGGTCAGGAGTGAAGTTCGTTACGGTAGAACGCTTTGAGCTACACAACATGGGGAATCCGTTAGCGCACAAAGGCAACTTCTCGCGCTTTATCGTTAAATCGCCGCCGCCGACTTGACGCGCGCGTCCGCCGAATCAACGCTTCTCTCGAGCATCTCGCGAGGCTCGCCTGCTCGCGAGCGAAATAAACACAAGAGTAGCATTCACTAAAGATACAACGTATCGTAAACACATACACACCAACGGTTCCGAAGAAAAGGTTAAATCGCCGCCGCCTCCACCGTCACTGCTACACTCCCAACCGTGACCGAGTTTTAACGGTTCCGAGAGAGAGGAGAGAGAGAGAGAGAGAGAGAGAAAGAGAGAGAGAAAAAGGAGAGAGAGAAAGGGAGAGAGGGGGAGAGAGAGGGGGGAGAGAGGGGGGGAGAGAGAGAGAGAGAGAGAGAGAGAGAGAGAGAGAGAGAGAGAGAGAGAGAGAGAGAGAGAGAGACGATCCGCGAAGAATCCTACCGCGCGCAGTATTCGTAAACTCTCTGCCTGACTCGTCCTCGAAAAGTGCGGCTCGAATGACGGTCGCGGATTTGTTTCGTGCGTGTACACGTACGGGGTACGCGCGAGATTCAGCTGCCGCACACTTTTCTTGCCGCGGATCTGTGCTGGTCGCGACTGCTACTGGCAACGAACTCGCGGACTCGCTCCGTCGCTCGCGGAATCGAAACGTCGTCTCCGAGATAACACGAGCGACAGACGATCGGCGAATAGAAACAAACATTCACCCGACTGAAGCTGCCCCGACGAAGTCTCGCGCTCAACTGCGCGACTGGCCGCTAGCGCGCTACGCGCTAGCGTAGCGCCAGTCTTCACCCCCTTGTTCGTATCGAGGACACGACACGGCGCGCGAGAGAGAGAGCCTGCCTACCCGCTGCGGCCGCGCCGCGCCGCGGACGCGGACCTTGCCTTGATCTCTCGTCGCGTCCTTCGACAGCGCGTTGCTCGCTTGTGTTTATTTTACCTCTGTTTACATGCGTGGAAACAAATCTGTCGCGCGGCGCGCGTTCGTTACTTTCACTGCGCCATTAATGTTTACAGAGTTAGAATCTAGTAGAGCCGCAGCACACATAGGATTAGGAGATTAAACGCAAGGAAAGGAATAAGGAAGTACGTCCTGTGTGATGATTCATTTCATATGAGCATATCAAGTATATATATATATATATATATATATATATACATTTTATCGGATTATCTACAATAGACGTAGACGTACTTTAAGACTAATGCGTAAGCAAGACTGCTTACCATGTAAAATCAAAATTTCTCAAAAAATGCTTTAGATTTAGGCGTTTTTCTTTTTCTTCTTTTCATTTCTCTGCTTCACGATTATCCTTCGCATTAATTCACATTAATCGCATTAATGATCACAATTAATTCACATTAATTTCACGTTAATCTTCTACGATACAATAGGATTTTTAGATTATAGTGTACATCTAACTATCCCGATACCGAGTATCAACTTTCTAAACACAGCAAGATCTCTCTCTCTCTCTCTCTCTCTCTCTCTCTCTCTCTCTCTCCTCTCTCTCTCTCTCTCTCTCTCTCTCTCTCTCTCTCTTTCATCGAGTTGGTTCTCACAGCGATATTCTTCAACAAGGGAAATAGTTTGCTACATCTATATTATATCTTACACTACTTGACCTGAATGGAATATAGATATTGAATTCTTTTACATAATTCCATTATCTCAACGCGACGAATATGTCGTCTAGTGTACAAATTATACCTCTTAGGATTATGTAGGTCGAATGAGGCATGTTTCTAGATTTTACGATTATGAGATCTGTTGTGACTCAGCAATTCTTTGATGAACGAAATCTGAAAGTAAAACTGAGTGAGAGAGGGAGGAGAGAGAGAGAGAGAGAGAGAGAGAGAGAGAGAGAGAGAGAGAGAGAGAGAGAGAGAGAGAGAGGGATATATTAGCTTTTGTTTATTTTGTTGAAAAATATGGTATGTTGGTTGGTTTAAAGAGGGATGTACTGTATAGGATGCTATCCATTCTCTCGGTAGTGGAGAATTAAATGAAAAGAGATCGAATTGAAATTTTTCTTAACACGAGTCTTATTAATATTTAATGCTCGTCGTGACTACTGTACAGTTTATTTTGATGAGAAACATTTCTATGAGATTGAAACTCACTGGCCGCGAATTTGTTTGGATAAAATTTTATTACATATCGCTCGTTTAGCATCTTACGCGCAAGTAAATCACAGTGATGTGAACATTTCTTTGCTCATTTATTGCAGATTTCTCTCTTCAGTTCAATTTTTACGCGTCGCATTTTACTCGTGCGTGGGTCTTGTCGCATATTACTTCATTATATTTCTGCAACCGTCAACACCGCCGTCAAATTAACGATGATAATATCTGTCGGGTACGATTCAACGTAGCGATTAATTACGTAGGAAACGTTTTCATAAATCTTTCGCGTGAAATCCATAATAAATAATAATACGTTATACATTACCCAACAATACGACAATTTAACATCACTCCATGTAAAGAGGTATCCATTAATAATAATACGATCTTGATTCGCCGCGTTAATTAAAGCGCAAGAGCCGAAACTGCGTTTCCGGCCAGCCAATTGAAGTCTCGCGGTAGAGAGAACTGGCTGTCGAGGAAATTTTAATTTCCATAAAACTTTTCAGATGTATGCAAAGTGGCACGAGATGTAAGTTCAGCAAGTTTTCATTTATCCGTGAAAGTGGATTTCAAAGATGGCACTATCTATCTTGCGGCTGGATATATAAATCCATGTTCTCGCTTTCGCGCTCGCAAACTGAAAGTTGGCTTTGCCTATAAAAAGTATTCAACTTTAATTGAGTAGCGCAAATATATCTGCGTAAATTATCCGATTCCATTTGTTACATATCATTATGCGCACGCATAAAAAGAGATTTATTTTAAAAAAATTTACCTTAAAGGTAATTTTCCTTCTTACATTCTGAATATCGATTCTGAATTTACGAGAAAGATATTTCTTCTTTGTTTATTTCGGTAGTCTGCGCTATTCGCTGTTGCATAACAAGCGTATTGGAGCGCATTGCTGCGTTTCCAACGAATCTCGTTTGGCAAGAGACTGTTCTTTAACATTTTTCACATTTTTCACGTCTTGCACAACGATTGCAGTGATTTGCGGTACAGTTAAGAATACAAAAGACGATAATCCGCAGATGAAAAGAAAAATTGTCGAAACGCGAATTACTTCGTGTAGATAAATTTCGGACAAACTTGCAACTGTCCAACGTTCTTGCGTGATGCACGTAGAACGTAGAAATCAGCACGAGCGTTCAAAGAGGTTAAACGCTGGGATATGAAAATCCCAGCGTTTTTAATTCGCACGTTCTTTCGCAGCCGTCTCTGTTAATTTTGTCGTTCACGAGCGAGTTACATGGAGCCGTTTGAACAACACTTAAAAGGACAGGGTTCGCCGTTCGGTTGCGTTGGAAAGTAACGGCAAACGCAAAAGCTGGCCGCCAAGTTCGAGAAGCAGGTCGGGCAACTTTGCACAGGGTACGTGAGCATACCGGGCTTTCCACGATTTTCCTGAATTGGAATTGACAATGAAGGTACTTGAGCGCCGACGTTTCGATGGAGTTGAAGCGACAAGTAATAAACTCTTGGAACTAACAAGTAGTAACGATCAAAAGGGACGGTTGATTTGCATAACTGCTAACGAGGTGTAATATTACGATATCGAGATGCTCGTGCTTTTCTTATTTTGACGAGAATATCAATATTTTGTCATTTTTCTCTCAATTGAGATGAAATTTAAGTAAAACCGATGCGAAAGTCTCCCTCTCTCTCTCTCTCTCTGTGAACAAATCGGGTCGAGCGTCTTTAAACATTCGTGCTTTTGCGAATGTTTACAACACAATCTATAGACGCGCTGAATTATGAACGTCAATTTATTCCTATTTATTTTTACCCATGAATATAGATTAATAAATATAGATATTGAATGCATATTGAATTTTGACATAGGAGCATCTCGATACTATAGTCGATATTGAAATCGACACTTTGGAATCGATCGAGGGCGTGCTGGCGCTGGCAACAATATATCACTGTAAGTAGGTTATTGCGTTTGAAAACTACACAGAATCGTTCAAAATCAAGAGAGATTGCGCAATGCATTAGGAAAGACCGACCGAGCGAATAGGAATTTTCGAGAGAATTTTGTCTAGGCTGCTCTGCTTCAGCTGATGAACAGAATTTAGACCGCAAAAGAGTAACATAAGCGACGCCCGTCGTCGATTTCGCAACACGAGAGAGACAGAGAGAGAGAGAGAGAGAGAGAGAGATGATGATGATGAAAGAGAAAGAGACACGCGCGAACGAAGACGAGGACGACGACAACGTGCGTTCAAGTCGAAAGATAGACTCGCGAATCGATAAGTTCCATCCGAGTTTCTCGAGGCAGAAATATAACGTAATGTTGATCAGAAGATGCCGGTATCTCTTTCTCTCTCTCTCTCTCGATATTCGAGGCTGAATCGCGATTCCCGAAAAATTCTCGGTTACCGGGGGGGTGAAAATTTTCTCGCGAAAATCGCGAAGACGCGAGCTGATGTCGCTTTATCGCAGTCTGAAATTAATGTTACAGCGCGTGGGACGTTACGTCGATTTTACTCAGGCACTGTGCACTCTCTCGTGATTTATAGAGTACAGGCGGAAGTAAGATTTACAACCACGCTTCTCCTACGAGGAGGTCGCGTATTGGCGAAAGCCACAGGCGCCGTGTATATAAGTCATCATATTTTATTATGTCGTTAATAATAATCGAGGAGAATTACGACCGAGACACATAGCTGTAGCGATATTCGTACGTAAATACGAGGCAGTCACACACGGACGAGAAAAAGTATCGGTAGTAATGGGTACTACCGATAAAACTACTGGAACTCCATCTCGTGAAGAGTCCGAGTCTCTGCGGCGGTAACACTCCGCGCGCAGACTCCACGCGCGCAATTTTTCTTTCCGCGCGTATTTCGCAATCGATACGATGACAAGAGCCGACAAAGCTCGGCTGTACACGTCTGAAGCAAATTCAGGAAGGAAATATTAGATGTTAGTGATACATCTAGCGAGTAACTTGAAAGCGCCTTCAAAGGCAATCGAGCGCAAAGAGAAATAGACGATTATCGGTGAGATCGTATACCTTGACGCTTTTCGATACTTGTTGAGAGATCATAAATTCTCCGGCTGTATGACGAGTCGGAACGGGAACGCCTCCGCAGAGACTTTCCTTAGAGGATTTCGCACAGAGGCATGAATAATACATCCTCTCGGGGGAGAGGGGTACCAGTGGCTTTACCAGTTCCCTGCTGACTTTAATGTTTTTCGGGAGCTCTTTACGAGCCAATAACGAGTTCGAGGAGGTCGATGCGAGGGCGCGAGGTACCCTTTGTAATTGCAACGCGCAATTTATTAATTTCTATAGTGCTATCAGGTGCTCGCGTCGTATTACTGCAATGCCTCTGAATGCGCGCGCGCGCGCGCACATTCGTTTAATATCAATCTCGACGCGTGATTAAATATCCGTCGAGAGCAACAGTGCAGATATTACCCGTGGCGCGAGCGCGAAAAACATTGCAAAATTCGTGCACATTCGTTGGTCGTCGATCGATCGTAAATTCGCAGATTTGTATCAATCAAATATCAAATATAACGATAGAAGGCGATTTCCGTTTAGCCGAGACCTAAATATCGCCGCCGATGATTCCGACGCACGGAAGAGAGAAATGGCGAAAACGGAGACGCGCGGCGGAAATTGCGCGGAAATGTCGGCGTATGGTGTAAGAAATAAATATCGAAATGTTGATTGTTGGAAGAAAATCATCCCTATATAGCCGATCTAGTCTTATGTGTACACCTATATATTATGTATAATATATTCGTGCGACTTTTTTTCGGAGCATCGTGATACGACGACAGAGGCTAACTTGTTAGGCTTATCAGGTGTCGTTTCCAGGTGTGCACCTGGAAACCTTTTGTTTCCCTGTCGCGCACGGGAGTTTACCTGAAGCGGTGGAATTTTCGGTGAGCGTCTCTCCGCCTATCGAACACGCCGAGAAAATGAATATAGCGAGACGCTCTTTACTAAGCGCGGAGAAATAAGAATTCCCTGACGGGAGATGCTCTCCGCTGTCCCGGTTATTTCCTTCTCCGACAGTCTTGCGAGCCGAGAATTTTCATTTCGCATGCGCGCATATATATAGAGCGTTTTATACACACACACACACACACACACACATACATGCATAATACGCGGCAGCGGCTACTTTGGAGATATCAATGTTTAATCCGTCACTCTCAGTGGCGCGCGACCAGTTCGGCAAAAGTTTACTTATAGCGAGGCTTCATTAAATCTCGCCGACCACGATTGGATCCACGATACATATCGCATCGTGATTTGATGAATAAACTCGTGAATGTTTAAATACCGTTGAACCTGTCGACAGCGCGTTTTTGAATGTTATCGCTCAAACGTAAGCAACTCCTTTCTTTATTCCTGTCGACGACGATTATTCCGCACTAACCCAGAGGCCTCGTGTCAAAGTTTATCGAAGCAACGTAGCCTGACCTGAACCTTCGCTGGCACACTTGTTGCTCAAATAGTGGATATACCTGGGGACACATCACTGTCACTCGTGCATTTTCTCTACTTTTATACATCTATCTATCTTTTCCATTAAGCTTGTTCCCATGCGTGTCCGTGCACAACGCGGAGTTTGCTCACGATACCAAAGTAAAAATGCACGCAAGACCACTTCTTCCTCGTGGTCGAAATATCGCGAGCTGAAAAGTTTTCATTCGGATGCACACGTTTGATACACGCGATCTTTCAAGTAAGATTTCTTCACCGTACATTTCAAAACTGTCGCATATGCGTGCTAACATTCTCATATCTCGGGGAAATGACGTGTAAAACTAAGTACTGCTATTTTATAAACATGTAATGTGTGTGTGTGTGTGTGTACACGTATTTATAAAATTAAAGTCATTGTCCTATACAATTTCTTGAAACTTCTCTCTTGCTCCTCACTCGCATAAAATCGTAAATCATCATTTGCGAACAACACACGCGACTGCTGTAAGTTATAAGTCATTCAGCAAAAGTTGCCGGACATGAAATATTGATATACGAGTGCATCATTAACGCGTAAATATGGATACGTACCAAACGGTTGCATCTGCAACGGATAAATACGAACGTGTCGCACGAGCGCATCGAGAGCGATTGTGTAAACGTGATATTTCGACACGAGTCAATATTAATTACGCGTTGACATCTCTCAAACATCTCGATAAATAAAGTCCGTCAAGTGCCTGAATCCAGCCGCATTGTCCTACACGCGGTGGGTGAGGGATACCCTGTTATATATTTACCTAAAACCCTAAACTCTGTACATTCGATTTACGTTAATTCGATACGTATTTAAGGCATTACGTGCGACACGAGTGGTGATGATTAAGAATTCTTTGAAAATATCAATTCTCGAGAAACGAAGTTTCTACGTGGAACTGCTCACTACTTATCTTATCAATATTCGTGCGCGTTCTCATATATCACACATGTGTGATGATATTGTATAAGCGCAAAGCGCTTAGCTAAGTAACACTCGAGACCTTAGGATAATGGTGATGTTATTATCGTCTGCGACTTCTGCTTATCTTAAAAGATCTAAGCGGACCAAAACTAATCCGTTATGAATTACGAATTAACAGAGCTCACATTCTTTTGCTCTTTTACTTATAATATATTACAATTTGCCTTGATTTATTACCGGAACATGAACAATTGCGTTAGATGCTACTGTTTTATAAATACTGTTTAATACATTTTTATTTATAATGTTTATGCAACATTACTTTTTTTCATTATATGAATATATTTTAACGTAAATTAAATAACTTAGTTGCAAATATTGAAGAATATTGTTTCCGAAACAAATATTAAATCTAAGCGATGGATGTATGTGCTTAATATCCACAGAAAAAATATTAAAAAACACTTAATGTTTTATATTCTGTGTATACACAATACATATATATATTGAAACACAGAGGGAATATCAAGAACATATATACACCTTCTAGTTATAAACATTGATATCCCAATGTCATATGAGAAAAGCTTAAAATACAGTACAATATTATATAGTTTAATATAAAGGAACTTTGGTTCAATTCGTGATTTTATTAGTTTCTGATTAATCTGTGAAACAATGAATCATCAGTATCTATAGAATTCATAGTTACAATCTGTCATTTCCAAATTTTGTATTATATTGATATATTATATTGATGTATGTGCATATATATATAATTTTGTGTATATATTAGTTATTATATATAGATTAAAACTGAATAGGATGACAAATACTCAGTATTTACAATTAATACATATCTGCACAATGTTTCATTACTACAACATGTTGTATAAATATTTATTTGTACTCTTAATCATCAGGAATATTCTCTAGTCCCTGTAAGAATACACATAGTAAATGAACAATTAAATATGTACATATACCATTTCAAGTTTTTCCGAATCAATGGTACAAGCAAAACAAAAGTTTATACTTTCTATATTAACAAATTACCCTATGTTTCCATGGTGCTCCATCTATACGGCCGTCTCGTGTAAACATATGACGATCCCATACTTTAGTCATGTTTCTACGCATTGGCTATAAAAAAAAATAAAGTCAAGAAAGCAATGTAAAAATTTCACGCAAATCAATTTGTATCGTATATCTCTTTCCTCAGCTATTTTTCTCTTAGATTTCATTCTGACAATCGATATCAAATATAACAGCTGACTTGTGAAAAAACAACATCAGTGATGAAAATGATGAATTTTATTGTTGATAAGTCAAGTTAGAAAATACTTATGTGCGGTTTCCTATCTTGTGATAAAGATACATTGAACAATTTAGCAAAAGAACTAATTATTACAAATTAAAATAAAAGCTAGGTTAGGTTAGAGTAAAGATCGAGCACTTACATTTCCCAATATTAACTGATTCACGAAAGCAGACCAATATTGAGGTGCAACTGGTATCAAACCTATTAAGAACAACGGTGGAAGCATTTCGTACCACATTTTTATCCAATTCTCCGCAGAGTCGCTAACTGTATCTGACAATTACTCGCTGAACGTTCCTTCCTGTAGTAGAGGTAAAGGTGCAATCCCAAGTGCACGCAAGCGCAATATACACGTAACCTTATTATGTTCACGAATATAGATCTGTCCTTTTCATTAACTGTACTATATTATACTAACATTTTCTGCATCTGAATTCTGTATCTGAATATTCTGTACTTGAAATAAGATAGTTATATATATTTATTATATATATATTGATATTGATTAGTACAAGGGAGAGAAGGATAATTGTAAAAAGGTACACAAAGTGCAATTAAGAAGAAACACAAGATGTGTTTCTTCTTAATATGTCGTATGTCACATATATATGTAATTATGTAATTATGTAATCGAACTAGCCTATAAAATCATAATTGTTCCACATATTTAATTACGCTTTTGTATTTCTCTTTCTTGCTCTCTCCTATCAAGTTTCAAATATGTATCTCATTTTAAGTACAGAGAAATTTATACATGGTAGAGCTGGAAGAAATAAATATTTAATCACACATTTTGCATTTAAAATGAAGTAAATGTATATTTAGGCATTTTTATTGTGGAAAGAATGAGAAGAGAGTGAAATATATGGAAGAAAGGTACGAAGGATATATAACAAAAGTAGATTTCACAACACATGTACAAATAACTGTATGAATTGTAAATATGTTCGATTCAGTCTTGTTGATTCCACTGTTACTGAAATTTCAGTAATAATAAAGAATTGGATAGTGTTCTAACATTCTCTGATAGCATGATACGTTAATTGTTAATGACAAAAATCTCACATCGTTTGATGTAAAATATATCGCTAACGATTACTTTGTTTCAAGATTCGTACTGCGATATTTCCAAGTCTCTCCCCCCCCTTCTGTCTCTCTCTCTCTCTCTCTCTCTCTCTCTCTCCCACCCTCTCTCTCTCATCTCGTTAGATGTATAGATAATTTCGAGAGGATGATACGTGTAATAACTTGTGTTATAGCGCTATTATTTTTCGTGAAATCATTCTTTGCATTAAAGTAGTTGTGTAATGCGAAAACGTTTTGTATGTTTAGTTCTGTTTGTTACTGTAAAAGAAAATTTTCGAGAAAGTTAACAAAAATGTTGTTGAGAATATACTCTGTGTTTGTTCTAACGATGGATGTCTTGATGCTCCTTACCAGAGTATGCTACATAATTTTGTCTTCGATATATAGAATTATCAGACCACAGCCATTGAAAAGCCTCTATGGCGAAGTTGCTATGGTAATATTCCATTTGCTTATTCCTTGTTACAAATGGATATATTGTTGTACATATTGCAAATATATCTTACAATTTAGGTTGTGGGTGCAGGAAGTGGAGTGGGTAGAGAACTTGCTTTACATTTGTGTCAACTCGGTGTCACAGTTGCTTGTGTAGACATTAATGTTGAAAGTTGCAACGCTACTGTACAACGTGCCCTGCAGTTACATGGAAAATGCAAAAGATATCAATGCGACGTGAGGGACAATAATGCGGTACCTGTGTCATTTATTCATACTCAATCATGTTTCTACTTCTAAACCACAATATTACATGTACAATTGCACAAATTGAAATTGAATAGGTTGTTTGTACGGTAAATCTTATTAAGGACCAATTGGGAAATATTACAATGCTCTTTCACTGCTGTGGATTACCCAGTCCACGTGCATTGATAGAGGAACCACCAGGTATAAGAACTACTATGGATTTGTCTGTTATTAGTTACTTTTGGGTAAGGATTATCCATCTTAATAACTTAATAATAGAGAGTAAAACTTTGGAAGCGGATACATTCATATCATTTTCATAGCTATTAGATGCAGTTTTGCCATGTATGCAACGTGCTGGTAGAGGCCACATCACAATTTTGTCTTCTGTGGCTGGTCTTGCCAGTGGTAGGAGTAGAATTCCTTTATCTACTGCACAATTTGCAGTCCAGGGATTAGCCGAATCCTTACTCATGGATTTAAGACATTCGTGTAAAAATATCATTGTTACATTAGTCCATGTTTATCCATTCATCATTGGGACAGAAGTTGCCAAAGATATATGCTTCAGGTAACATGTTTCAAATTATATACATTTGATTCAAATAACTTTTTCTCTCATTTCAACGTTATTGTACGTTATAATTACATATTTTTTTTTAATCCAAGAATGTTTGGGACATATTTTATAGATTACCAAGTTATTTTGGTACAATGCCTGCTGCAGAAGCTGCTAGAAAAATTTTGACCAGTGTTCGCCGAAATTATGCAGAATGTAGTGTACCAGGATATTTGCTCTATCTTGGACATATTCTCAGGTATTTTCATAAGTTCTATAATTATGCAAAATGACATATAAATAATACTAATAGGTCTTTCATACTTTTAGAATCCTTCCAAAAGAAGCATCTATTATGTTGCGAGAAATGTTAGATACTGGAGTCGATTTTGCATAAATATGTAACATGTAAATATTTTAACTAAATATGTAAACATACACAAACACGCGCGCACTCTCTCCCCCCCCCCTCTCTCTATAAACACACACACATACACAAATATCTATAGGTCAAAACTCAAATCACTCACATGTGTGTACAAGTGTATAAGAAAATCAAGGTTTCTTTCCAAAGATTGTGCTGCAGTCGTTCTTAAAGTCTTTTCTGGTATAACTGTGCACAATGCATATTTCTTTTTGCTCATTTTTTACTTCAAGAGAAGGAACATATATATGCTACATATAGGACATAAAATTTCATGTAACAAAAAATATTTTATTATCTTTTACACTTGCTGAGGTAACATGTATTGTGAGAAAATTATCTATCAATTTTTCTTGTATATACTGTAATATTAAATTCAGAGTTTCAGAGTCATACATACATTATAGTCTCAGACTTGTGCATACCTGCTATAATCAAGATGATTTTTTAATGCATACGTAATATATGTGTATATATATATATATGTAATATTAAAATTGATTTATAGTTAAATTTTTATGCACGGTCGGCATTATGCATAATGAACTCATATTAAAATTATGTATACAACTGTATGTATTTCCTTATTTTAATTGGTAATTGTGTAATTATTTTCGTAATAACTGTGATGTAACAATAGTTTTACGGAAGGAATTATTTTAAAATAAGGAAATTTTTGCTATATTAAAGAAATGTATTAATTGTATCGTTTACTTTTCCTGGGGGGAAAAAAAAAAAAAAGAGAGAGAGAGAGAGAAAGAAATTTCATACATTTTTATACAGTGAAATATATATGTAATAAAAAATATATTTTAATAGAATTTTCAACCGATGTTCTCATTTTTCTATATCTATACGCAAATGTCATAATTGTAGTATAGACAGAGCTGTCTGATCAAAATTCTTTTTCTCTTAGGAAATTGATATTTTCTTCAGACAAAACACTAAGGACTGTATATCGATATATTATTCTGAAAAATGTGCCGTTTATATAAATATGAGAAAACAAATAGTGCAACTTACGCTTATATGATGTTCTTTTGTTCGTCTTGTGATCTATTTATCCTCTGAAGTGTGGATATGAAACTAAAAATCACTTCTTATATCACTAGTACGTTGACCGGTCGGATATATAAAATATGACGACGATCAGTATTACCAAAATAATTATAGCGAACAATATACATCAAGGAATTATCGCGATTAGATACAAGAGAGTTGTCTAATATCTAAATGTCAGTTCTGTCAGTGTGGAGGAAATCGTCTGAACGTTTCAAACGGTGACCCAAGGAAAATAATTTACAATTCGTAACTACAATACAGATATTAGTTAATATTTGAATATCTAGTAGAGTGCGTTTCTGATCCTAACAATGAAATTGCTTTATGCTAATCTAAACCAGGAGGAGCTGGTTCGGAAAGATCAATTTCCATTGTATCTGGTTTTTGATCATTCGAATAATCACCGGGTGGCGCCTGAAAGAAGCCGATGGAAGAGATGTTTGGTGAAGTCTCGAGTTTCAGATTTATTCTTATAGATTTTTCAAAAAAGTTTTGCCTTTATATACAATCATCTTTACTCACAATATCAAATTCATCGTGCATGTCACAAAGCACTTTACCCTGTATGACATCCATTATCGATTGTGGAATGTGCGCTTTCTGAAACATGACATTAGATATCTTAGTGTATTGAAGTCTTGTTGGTGGATTTTACTAACGTACTAACATTCAGCCGGCAAAAACACAGAAACACATATTCCTACCTGGACTATTCAGCGTTACGTTAGGCGTCACTCCAAATCATTCATTCTAACGATTCTTTATCAAGTAGAGATTGTGTGATGATTCTTACTTATTGACAATACAAATGATACGAAATGTTCGCATTTATAACGCTAAATGTGCAATGGGAATGCGGTTCGGAGCATATCTTTTACGAGATCAGATTACCTGATTTTCAGCAAAAGCTTCAACATGGGCTAGTAAGGGCGCGCGTAAATTGCTGGCCATTCTTAGCGCCTCTGACAATTGCGTCGGTGGTAGTTGCAAGATAACAGCGAAACTTTGTGGTTGCGTGCGTTCGCAACATTTCACGAAACCCTCCCATACTTTCGGCTGCTTCCACACTTGCTTCAGAATCAAACGTTGAAGTATGTTCATGACGAATCCGCTCAGTCTGGGATAAAGGGCTAAGCTTTGTATGACGGTACGCATGAGTAAGGTCGGTAGAGGTGTCACCTCCATAAGATGTTGCATCACGACAGCAACCGTTTCCTGCGTATACACTTGTTTCTCGGCGAAGCAGAGAGACGTCGCTGCAATAAGGACAAGTATTCGCGTATTTTATAATATATTAGCACTTGGCAGTTTCTCGTAAGTAATATGTATACTTGCTCTGCGCTCTGTATAGATCAATCTACCTTTAATAACGGTCTTTAATTCAGCCTTGCTTGGATCTATATTATGTAGAGCTATCAACAATTCCGCGGGTGTAATAGGAGATGTATGAGGTACACCACTGTCGTTGTTATGTGTCCCAAGCAACCTGTTGAATACCTAAAAAGCATACGTTTACAAAGTGCACGCTCAAATGCCCGATACAACGACTGAAACGTTTCTCAAAGAGTTACTTACCTCCTTTACAACGATAGGGTTTAATTTGATTAGTTTTGGAAGTGCACCAATCACCTCTTTCTTCGTAAGGCCATTTAGAACGGGTATCAAGAATCTAACATCGGAAACTCTGGTTTGGTACAACTCCCGCACCCTGGCCACTAATTCAGCACTCGGAGCAGCTGCGCGTGCAAATATATCAATAAGTGTAAAAAATAGTGATAGAAACATAAAAAAAGGGAAGATGTATATGTAGAATGAAAAGAACGTACATTTCTCTGTAAGAATATGTATAATCCTCGTGACCAAAGTCTCCGAACCTTTCGGACAATTCTCAACAAGTGCCAGCAATTGTGGGCTTCCCATACCTAAAGATCTTACTGGTCCTTCCACGAGTCTTAGCACGATACGCTTTACATCAGCTCCCATAGATGTATAAACTCGCGCTAATCTATTATCATTAACAGGAATTATCTATTATCTATCGTAGGATTGTGCAAATGTGGCTCCTTTCTTCTTAGAAGATACATTCTACACAGTAATATGAAAAGAAATCTTATGTTTTCACTTACTCATGAATAAGATCTTGATGTTCACTGAGGAGAGCAAGATACAATCCTAGACAGGCACGTGTAGTCGATTCGCTCCACAAACTTTCAATCTGCGGTCTGCCCCTATCCTGCCCGAAAACAATTTCGGGTGGATTATGAAGGCGTAAAAAACCTAGATATAGAACTGCATACTCTTCAATCAGTTTGCTTAATTCCGATCTGCTGTACAACTGACAGACTAATTGTATCGCAGCCTCCCGTATCTAGTCAAGGATAGATACATGTTTTTCACATTATTATTATTTCATAAAAGCGCTCGATATTCCTCGCTCGATAAAGTATAACATTTTGAATGCTTTGCAAGATTGTATGATTTTTTATCTTACCGTATTGTTTTCGTGTCCAGTATGGCACAACAAAACATTTAAAAATACCAACTGCTTTGTTGGTCTGCGCACTACCATTTCTTTCAGAAGCTGCAATGGCGCAAGACCTCTAGATTCGTCGGATGACACCATTTTCAATGCTTCTACGGCATCTTCCGTTATCAGTGGTGCTTCCAGGTACAATCTTAAATGATAAAAAAAAAAGGAAAAATACATGTGTGTATATATATATATATATATATATATGTATGTATGTATGTATGTACACACACACACACACATCAGTCGGATCAACGCAATCGGATGTCGATATGTTCCATTTTATATATAAAATGCAAATATATAATATTACCTGTACAATAAGGAATCACGATCTTTACCCTGAACTAAATCAATAGCCGAAACTAAAGTGCACAATAAAAAGTTATACGCTTGATGCGGAGCTTCCTGAGGTTTCGTACATAATGTGGTCCGCCTCTGGAAACCTTGAAGCAACGCATACTCCTCGTACAACCATCCTAGAGCCAAATCTAATCGATTTCTCATATCATCGGTAATGTAACGCAATACAGCTTCCTTAATGTAAGGATTAAAGGTAGCTGCCAGTGTAGTCAGGATTTTGGATCTGTAATGAAATCATCATCATCATCACAGTCATGAAGTCACAATTATGAAAGATATCTTATTATATACGTGAAAAATGTGCATGCTTATTATATTCGAATGTGCCTCATGTTGTTGTACCTCACAGCAGCTACACCACCAAGAACTGCAGTCTTTTCCGAAAACAATATCCTATTAACTGCCAACAATAACATTCGTTCTTTAGCTTCTTTCAAAAGCGGTTTCGTCACCTCGGCCAATTTCAACGCTTTCAAACGATTTCTAGCTTTTGCAAGAGATTTCTCGTGGGCCTCTAATGACGCTTTCGCTTCCTTTTCCTTCTCCCGATCTTTCTCGCGTTTACGCTCACGTTTCGCTTCTGCTACGCTAATAGTAGGATTCTTGATCAAGTCTTCCATTACAGCATCTTCTTCTTTAGCGTCTTTCTTCTTTTTCGCTTTAGTCTGCTTTATTTGCGCCGCTAGAAGTTTACCGATTGTCTGACGTTGTATGTTAATGTCGGTAGTTGCAGTGGGCTGATATTCTCTTTGAAAAATTGTCGTCATGGTGTCCGGAACCCATGCCTAGTAAAAATAAGGGAGGGAATAATAATTTCGATCTGACACGGACATAGGCCAATGAGAGTGAGAGTGAGTCAATGAGAGTGAGAACAATTTCGTGACACATACCATACTATCCATCACTAAATCCGTTGCAATTTCTACGCTAAGTCTTTCGGCGATAAAATTTTCAGAAAGCTCGATTAACTCTGGCAATTTAGGCGCAGGAACGGGACTTGGTATCGGTTCTGTTTCATCAGGTATCAAAACCATATCAAGTTTCACTCGTTTTGCAGCATTAGCAGCTGCTGCTTCCTTCAAATGAAACAAAAAGAAAAGAAAAGGAAAGACAAATCTTTAAGAATTACACATAGAATAGAAAGTAACGCCTTAACGAGAACTTTTACATACCTGTTGGCGTTTTTTCATTCGACGAACATCGTCCGGTTTAGGATAAGCCTTAATAATCTCCTGCTCTTTTGCTCCAAGTTGAGACAATTGCTTAGCTATAGTTGAAGCATATTCTATACTAGCAGGATGTTTCATCAGTCCGAGAAGCGTGAGTTTTAGTTGCTTCTGTACACTGGTCACTTGAGAATCAGACAGCGTTGGTGGTAGATCATGTTGCAGCCTCTGCAATGCTGTGCATTACAACACAGATGGTTACACATCGTACACGAAATGTTAATAGATATTGTACATGTCGCGATGCGAGTAAGTACATTTATATACAATACCTTGGATTACATTCGGCATAAACTGTGGTCTTGTTTTAGCGATTAATGCTAAAGATCCCATACATGTCATTAAATTGACACTACTGACATGTGGTGATCCGTGAAACTTGATCAGCAGATCCATAACATTCTTTGCCTCCTCTTCCAATTTCCTTCTACGAGCTATTTTCAGTGTCAACGGTATGTCTTCAAGGGAAAAGTCATCAGGTTTCTTGGGAGTATCGGGGTCAGGATAGGTTTGTATCAAGACAACACCTTCGAGAAACTTTACAGCTTGTGTCCTGATTCTGCAATATGGAAAGTTAAAATGAAATTGGACATGTAACAATATAACTGCAGCGCACTTACAGTGTTCAATCAATCGATACACTTACCCATCATTATCACTGTCAATCATATTTATAATCTGTACTTTAAGAGCACTTAGCTGACTCCACGCTAATTCCATTTCTTGAGTAACAACAGCAGCACTAGAAATCCATTTGAGAGCAGCTCTAAGAATTCTACTGCTGGCTCTAAGAACTCGCTTAGCTACAGCTGGTGCCTCATCCGTCGACAATCTAAGAAGTATTTGCACTGTACGTGGGATCACTTCTGGATGTTTTATTCTGAAAATAATAAGTAAATCTAATATTATGTACGTTCCTTTTATACATATAAAATGATTCAATAAGTAAAACAAGTCACTGATAGTAACCCAGCTTCTTCAACAAATCCTATGATAGTCTTTCTGACTTCTGCACTTCTATCTGCTGCAAATTCTAAAACATTCCCCAAATAAAGTTGCAGCAAATGCGATTCCTTGTTTAACAACACTTCTTGTATTTTACATATATTTGCAACTTTAACATCCTCAACGGAGCTTATAGAGACCTCGTTTAACCATTCGACAATCTAGAAAATGATAAAACGTTAAAGTATACCGGTACATTTAAATACGAATTGTTTTTCTCATAGAATTACATCACCCTATATTACTTATATACGTATCAGTTATACATTGATTGAATATTGGTTTGGAAAGAAATTAGCGAAATAGCACAAATAAGGCAAAATTTCAAGACAAAACCACTACAATCCCGAAATAAATCAGTATTTTATAATGTTATCTGAGCAAAATCTAAAAGATCTTTCCCCTGTAAAGTATTGTACATAGTATTTCACATTTGCGATATTATCAACAATTTGCTATTGACAGTCATTGAAAGTCATTTTGATAACGATACATGTTCTTTGAATTTTGCAAGTGGCAAAACCAGCTACTAAACCAGAGACATACATCCAAATGTGTCCTGATTACAGGATGAAATTTTGCACAATGCATAGATAGCTCTAATCACATATTTTGCTATAAAGCAATCTTTATGGTTTACGCAACTGACCAAATCACTCGTTCCCTTTTCTGATTCGGATCTTCTATGTAAGCGTGGATCCATTGTAATTACATAAACTAACGTTGATAAATACGTTGGTAAATTACGCGCGGTGAGTATTAAAACGAGAAATTACGCGTTCGGATTTGAGCTTAACAAACTGCCATGTGTCGCATTAATTAGCTCTTTCTGGTAGCAATGCTACCAGAATGCTACGACAAACGAACGATTCTTCCTCAAGTGTGTTCAAACGCGCTCTGCTTGTCACAAGTATCGTAAATTTAGAATTATCAGCAACAAATATATTGCGCTCGAAATGCTAAATATTCGATCTCGTCCAATCTCGTCTCCATCTTTGGTCTGTTCTTTGTACCTGCACTGCTGATAAGTGCTAGAGTGCAATAAGCTAGAGTGAGAAGACCTAGGTTTGTCTCACTTCAACTTATTGCACCAGTTCAACAGTGCAGCTACAAAGAACAGACCACTTGTGGTCTGTTCTTTTCAGCTGCACTGCGGAACTAGTGCAATAAGTTAGAATGAGACAACTATATTTTTTCTCACTTTAACTTATTGCACCGGTTCAGTAGTGCAGCTACAAAGAACAGCCCACTTGATATTTTATTAGAATGAGCAATAATCAAATGATGAATCGGTGTTTCGATTCTTCAAACGATGATTCAAACGATGATCAAACGATGAAACGACGATTCGATTCTTTTCTCGTTAAAGGAACAAATCGTTTTCTCGATATTTTCAAATTCGATCAATTCATATATATTCATATGTCAAGAACTTTTTATAATCCAATGTTACGAAACTTCAATGTTGAAAATAAACACTTCTGTGTGGTCGGTCGGTATTGGCTGCGTTCCGATATTCGCTGTCAGTATTGAAAATACATAGTTTGTGTCACATATACTATAGATTTTCAGTGCCAGCTGATGCTATAGCAATGAATATCGGAACGCAGCCAATCGGTCTGTTCTTTTCAGCTGCATTTAGCTGCGAAACTAGCAATAAGAATAGAATGAGACAACTATATTTTTTCTCACTTTAACTTATTGCGCCGGTTCAGTAGTGCAGCTAAAAGAAAGGAACAAACCAATTGTCGTTGAGTCGTACTACGGATTCGATTCTTCATTAACGATGACGGTTGCTTGTAGTGGAGATATTGGAATTAATAGCGTTTTCATCTGCCTTGGTCTGTCCAAATCAGTATTTTTGAGCTAGTCTTTTGAAAGTATTTGTAATAAGAAAAGCGTGTAATCATAACGGGTCTAATAGGGACGGGAATAAATGTAGCAGGAAATAGGTCTTGGCTGACAACGCTAGATGGCGCCAACCGCACAGACCGTTATGCGAGCTTCGACAATTCCGACGGACCAATTATATGTGGTCTGTTCTTTGTAGCTGCATTGTTGAACTGCTGGTGCAATAAGTTAAATGTTCTGTTCTTTATAGCTGCACTGCGGAACTAGTGTTAATAAGTTAGAATGAAACAACTATATTTTTTCTCACTTTAACTTATCGCACCAGTTCAGTAGTGCGGCTAAAAAGAACAGACGACAAAAGTGAGACAAATATAGGTTTTCTCATTCTAGCTTATTATTGCATCAGTTCAGTAGTGCAGCTACAAAGAACAGACCACTAGCTCCACACAGTGGGAAACGTGTAAGATTCGCTCGGGTAACAAAAATTACCGTTGCAAGTTAATCGGTTTTTGAATCAGTTCTAATCATCAACCGCAGATCGTCAATGGCTGCGTTCAGAAACCACACAACGATTACACAACGGTTGAATAATTCGTCAACGTTATTGGTCTGAATGTAAGGATCTAACAGTAAGGACCAATAGTTACTAAGCGCTCAGTGAGCGCTTTGTTTTCTAAACGCAATCAATGTTTATCGCATCGAACAAACGATCAAGCGAAAGGTCAGCAGTATTTTTCTATTTGGACTGTGTAAACCTGTCATCGACTTTCGAAGGAAAAGATTGTTAATTTGTTTTCGCAGATGGACTTCGATACTCCGAAGAAAATCCTATGTGTGGGTGTCATCTGCCTCGATATCGTCCAAACGTGCGAACAATTCCCTTTGGAAGATTCCATTGTAAGGTTAGTTGTGTGAGGCGTCATGTGTGCAGTTGCGTACGTTGTGTATCCTCCGTTATCTTCCGTTCTCGCGCTTGATTGCACAATGGGTTAGCTGCGCGTGAGTTTGCGAGCGAGATATACGTTGTTGGTACATAACTAACAAATCATAAAGCTACTTATATAAAGTCAAATGGCACATTTGAATTTACTTGCGGCCGCTCTCAGTCTCTCATTCGTGTTGCATATAATCAAATTATAATTATTAAAATAAAAAATTCTAAGATTAAAAGCTAAATTCGGCCATTATAGCCAGTAGCCTGTGTAACGCGGACATTTTGTTTTCGCGGACTCTGTACGCGTTTCGGACCGAATTTAACTTTCGATTGAATATCCGTGAAAGCTTTAGCGTGAATGTGAATCCTCTAAAAAGATATCATCTTGAGACCCGAACAACATCATAATCGTTAAAACTGCCAAACAAGAACAATTGAACCTCGTTGCTCGTAGAATGTGACTTGTAACGTGTAATACGTAAATACGTGTAATACGTAGACGTGATTTAGCGATACGATCAGCCCGGAAATTTGTAAGATTTTGCGAGCTTGTTATTTAGAAAAAAGTCTCCAGCTTATCTTAGCTTAGGCAGTTTTGTCCGACTTCTCCTTGTCCAAGTACCGTCGGATGAATCAATAATTCAGTGGACTTTGTATCGTCGTACTTTTAAATTAGAGTTACACGCGCGTATCAATATCTTCTTTGACTCGATAGCGCATAAGACAGCTGATTATGATTCGTAGAAAATACATATGCGAAATGCCACTCACTTATACGCGATGTAGAATTTCTAGAAAATCGCGATGAGTCATGTGGAAACGAATTTCAGATCTACGGACTACCAGTGGCAAAGAGGAGGCAATTCATCCAACTCTTGCACCGTGCTGTCGTTGTTAGGACAGCCGTGCGAACTTTTAGCATGCTTGTGCGCGGATGAATACGGATCTTTTCTGCAAAATGATCTGTGCAGATATAATATTGACTATTGTCATTGTCCTGTAATGCCGCGAACTTTCAGTTGCCCTATTTCGACCATCATACTGAGTTCAAGTACTGGAAGCCGCACAATTATACATCACAAAGCATCAAACTTTCCGGAATTAACGCTCAAGGATTTCGAGACTCTTAACTTGGAGGAATATAGCTGGATACACTTTGAGGTAGCTTCGATGTGATTGAAAAATGATTTTGCAACGCGAAGCAGCTGTTTCCTGTGCTTTCAGGGACGGAATTTAGATCAAGTGTCAGCTATGATGCAACGTGTGAAAAGTTACAATAACTCATTGAACGATCGAGACACGAAATATCGTGCGCCAATCACAATTAGCGTAGAATTAGAACGCCCCAGGCCGGAATTATTGGATCTGTTGTCGCACGCTGACGTAACGTTCGTAGCAAAAGATTTCGCCAAGAGTCAAGGTCTCGAAAGTATGAGCGAGATATTAAGGAACATTGTTTCGCACGCCAAACCGGGGTAAAAAAACAAAAAAATGAAAGAAAAACATAAAATCATCTTTATGTCTGTCTAGCATCTTAGAACGTCGACGGATGATTATTTTGTTACGACATTTGACATTCTGTTAAATGCCTTTCTAGAGCAGCTATCATTTGCGCTTGGGCAGAGAAGGGCGCAATGGCGTGCATCGCGAATGGTGTCGTAGTGCAATCTCCAGCTTTTCCTCCACGAAAGGTGATGGACACTTTAGGCGCAGGTGACACATTTAACGCAGCTATGTTGCACCATTTAAACGTAAGCAAAGCAAAGTTTATGAGTAAATGCTCCAACGGAGGAAGTTTAAAATATACTCGAATGAAATTTATTGACGAAACAGTGTTACAACAGGCAGTTACATTTGCGTGTCGTATCGCTGGCGCAAAAGTTGGATTACGAGGTTACGACGGGCTTGATCAAATTTACCTTGATATTTTACAGAATACTCTAGTAGATTAACCAAAAGCATTTGTACACATGATATATATATATATATACATATATATATATATTTTTTTTCTTTCTAATTTTAAACATGGTGCAGTGTACAGATTTTTGTGAATGTATTTATAAAGGCAATAATACTTGTACTTTATGGACTGTTTTAAATAGATTTTATAGTACAACTAATGAAGTTCTGATTGGATATACCTAAAACACCTAACATTTCGTTCTTTTTCCTCATCTTCCCGAAAAGAGGTTTCCAATTTTTCGAACTTTTGCACTCACCACCCACATTATCCGATCTTAATGTTTTCAATGTAATTGCATTACATTTAGTATCTTATCTCTAACATTATTAAGGCCGTTAACAAAAATGTATGACGAAAGAAAATATTAATTACGTATTAGTAGGTTTATCTTTTCCCCAAGAATTTTCCAAAATGAATCCAGCAAAATATGTCTCAGTTTTCTGGTTCAACAGCGCAATCTATGAAGTCTCTGACATCCTCTTGCATATTTTTGGAGGTAGCACTAAAAATAAAAATTACAACAAAGGAAGATGTGTCTGTCCATCTGTCTAACTTGACAGCTCGTTATTTGAAACAATGTCAAGTCTGCAAGGTATAGTTCGACTCATTGTATACTCGTACGCGCGTCAGTATCATATCATATGAATAATACGCTTTGTAAGATTCAATTTGCTAAATATTCTACGATATAAATAGATTTATCAGTTTTCTGTGATAATATATGCCGTACTCACTGTACTATATTGATAAGTGGTAGCCAATATGAAGGTATAGATCTTTCTGTTATATCTCGTCGCTGCGCGCTAATTATTTCTGCGGCCGCCTTTTCTGGAGGAACTAATGACACTATTGGATTTCTGTCAGAAAAGAGAAAAAGACAAATTTTGGTTGTCGCGTTAAGAATTGAGATTTTCTTATATTTACGTTTTTGCGAACGCATATACTCGCTCGTGACATTAATTTTGTTTTAGACTTACGTTAATCTCAGCTTTTTACAGAGTCCGGTATCTACAATATTAGGAAAGATTGTAGTAAATTTAATTAAAGATTTTCCTTCTGTAGTTATACGTAACTCTTCCCTAAGCGCAGTCATAAAACCTGAAAAAGCCGCGCGAGAGCTTGAGAAAAATAATGTTTTTCACTTTTTTAAATCAAATTATAATTATATAAATCCTAGCAAGCTATAATCATATAAATCCTGGCTATAAGTGACGAATCGCAACATTTAATGTACATAAAGTGGAATCAACCTCTGATTGCGGATTTTGTGGCGGAATAAGCGGTCAAATTGGGGAATCCTACGAGTCCCGCTATCGACGATATTGCAACGACATGACCGTGGTTATTTTTGATCATGTCGGGTAAAAAGGCTTGCACCATCTAGAAAGAAATTAATGCATATTGACGTCAATTTACATTACTAAAAGTTGGATTTTTTCTTCTCTCTCTCTCTCTCTCTCTCTCTCCCTCTCTCTCTCTCTCCCTCTCTCCTTCTCTCTCTCTCTCTCTCTCTCTCTCTCTCTCTCTTTTCTCGAGAGAGAAATGCATAGGACAATATCACTAGCATATTAACATTCCATTCGATAGTAAACTATGGTAGCAGAGTATTAGTATTCAAATGTAAAATGACTATTTCCACTTGCCCAGAAATGTGACAATATATTGACGTTGAATTCACTTTTGATCTGATCGATTGTTAAATCCATGAAAAAACGACAGTTCATTATGCCGGCATTGTTAATTAAGACAGTTACTTCGCCCACTTCTTTCCTTATTTGTTGGGCTACTTCGAGGACTTGTGCGTTATCGGTTATATCGCACCTATAAAACACGATGTAGGATTTTAATTACTACATGCGGACTACAACACAGTTGCACACGCGTTGGAAATTTGATCGTTGTGCAAGTGTGCAGGAAGCAAGCGACGTTGCTCGAATCGACATTAACATACCGATATGCATACACTGGCCTTCCTGTAGCTTTTGTAGCTTCCTCGGCGACATTTTCATTTGTTTGCTGGTTTATGTCCAAGCACACAACCGTTGCACCCAGGTGTGCGTATTGAAGCGTCAACTCCCTTCCTATACCGTGACCAGCACCGGTGACCTAGATGATGACGCGGAAAAATGTAACATTTAGTCAAGCTTTTGCCAATCGACATCTTTGATCGGCATATTTTTCAGCACAGTTAGTACGTACCAAGACAATCTCGTCACTCACAGATTTCTTTGAAACGAAGAAGCTGCTAAGCGCGCCGTATGCACTCTCGCATATGCGATAAGGAATTTTCAAAAGGAGGAATACCAGTCTGATCAGAAAACTCATCCTTGTGTATATCCGAATTATGATTATCTGAAAAATTAATCTATAAACATGAAAAAAACATATGTTGAATTTAACTTAGTTTCCAGTGAGAAATTCGTATCGTGTCTGACATCTGACGCACGATCCCCCCCCCCCCCTGTATCAAGAAGAATATGTTTTCTGGTAAAAAAAAAAAATAAAAAAGTTGCTAGTTAGAAAATATAAAATATGAAGTCTCCGCCATTGGATATCGAATCATCGTGCGTCAAACGTCGGACACGGTAGTAATAAGATCATTGTTCTGCATTGATTACGACTCGTACTTCGTATAGGTATAAGTACCTTGTACAGGATACCTCGTACGAAACAAGAATATGCAGTCTGTAAAGTAAGAGCGTGTACGGGTTAATGTGTAGAAAATTTTATTTTTAATGATTTTTAAGTACATGGATTTGTTGTACTCCATGAGAAGAAAAATGCTATACCATTAATAATGAGTCCAGTCACATCACCGGCATTGATAATTGCCTGGCATCTGCCGAGGCATACTTTCCACTAAGTTGACTGCGTATTCGTTCGGTAAAGACCTCCAAATGAGACGAATTTGTCGTGTCAGCTGCTTCAAAGTGCCACACTCTTTTTCCTCGAAGCTTGCGCTTGAGATATGCCATTTTCACACATTTTCAATGGGATTTGCATCTGGCGACTGCGATGGCCAAGTGTGACGATGCCAGACTGCTCTTTCCACTCGGTGCAAAGCTTGCTCCCCAGTGTTTTGTTTGGATCGTTGTCTTTCTGTAAGATCCAGTTGTCGTTTTTTTTTTTTTTTTTGTGAAGCATCGTTCAGCACTCGGCAGCAAACACTTCTTATAAATTTTAAGCATTAAGGTCAGGTTCCGCTTAAACAAATTCACAATTTTTTTCCCATATTCGGCGTCACTTCGCCTATTTCCATTGCCTGAGCGCCACGTTCTGGCAAATCATCGACATTTTTGATCTTCTTATATTGCTGAACCCACTTAGCGACGAACGATTTTGACTCTCCCATGTATTTAGCAGCAGCCACTGCATATGAGATTTTTGGTCCTTTGTGGGGTGAAAACAAAGGAACACAGCCGCGTAGCGCGTATGCGGCACTCATGGCGCATGATTAACGTGTTTCTCAGGTTAGAGTTCGACGCCAGCTGAATCTTTTGTGACAAAGCATTCACGACAAAGATTTCATCTATCACCGGCTCACAAAAAAACTAGGACGATATGTGAAGCCAACTGCCATTTATGCCGTACACGCTCTTACTTTACAGACTGTATATGAGATAAGTGAAATATACGGATTTGACGGATTTTTAGTAAATAGCGGGTACGTTTCATTTTTGTAAATATATTGCCCGTTTGACAAAAGTCGACTCAGTTGCTGACTTCATCCTGTTGTCGGGATAATTTACATATGAATCGCTATGCGTACTCTCGTACTCTAGTGTGGTTTATATAACTCGATATTTATTTTCTCACCAACTAAAAGTACGATCTATTGAATAACTTCGAAAGAATATTTTATCTTTAACGCTCTTTTTAACAGTAACAGTATCACTATGTCGAATTTCTTCTCGGAAGTCTATACTGAAATATCCCATAATTTTTAGATTATTGACGTAACTTTTTAAGATCTAATAACGTAAGATTGACAATTTTACCCAGAAAAAAACATAATAATAACGAATGTACATACCTGGTTGTAATACTTGCGATAATAAAGAAACGTGATTAGTCCAAACCAATTGTTCACACTATATCAGTTTTGTATCTCTATATTTATATCTCTTTCCTTACTAACTACGGTCGTTTCTCGAATTCAACTGCTCTGGTGAACATTGAAATACAGTATAAATATCTCGTATGGAGATTAAATGTTTAATTTGCAATTCAATGTATCCGAGATACGCATTTATTATAGGCTGCCATTCTTATTCTCGAAGACTTATCGAGTATCAATTAAACAAGAAATTATTTAAAAGAACAATAAAAAGCGAACAAAATCTTAATCAACTCTACATGCGTTTGTTTAATACGTACGAATAAATCTAGAAATGTAGAAATCTAGAAATAGATTGAAAATAACTGGAAACAAAAGCACAATTATATAAAAATTTAGGAAAATGTTTACAGTTTTACAATATTAAAATTTATCCTTGTCATAAAAATAAAAGTAATCATCATATAGGAATTATGCCAAATGCCAATAAAAAACAAAAAAAGAAAGGTCAACGTGCGAACACACACACTACATAATTAAATTTTTTCATTACCAAGCTTTAATCGTCGAACTATGTTAAAGAATTTGTACCTGAGGTTTGTGGCCTTTTCGTCTTTATATCTGATCTTTATATTGATACCTCCTCCTTCCTCTCCCCCACTTCTTTTGTTTCGTAACATTAGATTGTCTGAAGCTGTGTAAAACTGTCAAGGTCAGAGGACGATATTAGATGAAATTCTTTCTGTCTTTACAGCCTAAAAGCGTGTAGTTACATTGCTGGAACGTTATAATATTGTAGATTGCATTGTAATATCATTGCAACATGGTAATATGTATTATGTAATACATATTACGGCGTAATCTAATAGAAAGATTGTGAAAATATTGTAGCAGACTGGCACACTGGGCGTAATATTAGTTACATTTAGCGAACGCAACAGCTATTGACTTTTAACAAATAAAATGATTTATCAGATGTGGAAATATATATCAATCATATATGATTGTTATTTATTACCAGTATTTCGGAACTGTAGTATTTTTGTTACGCCACTGTTGTATTCGCCACTGCTGCGCATACGCAAAAAGAATCCTGTTTTAGACCTACACTGACTACACCGAGTTTGCTGAGTTATTTTTGATGTTGCTGGGTTTCGTTAATAGTTCGTTGATTTCCTTGAGCGTATATGATGTAACATATGGTGTATGCATTGTAATAGGACAGAGGTGCAATAAGTGCGAAAGCAGAGATTTATTGTTATCATGGAAGAGCAAAGATAGAACAGAATAAATTAAAATTAATAAAACAGAATAAATTAATAGAAGAGAGTAGATTAAAATTAATTTATAACCAAGCTCGATTATTTTGAGGTTATACTGCGTCTTATATTTTGCAAGCATGTTATTGTTAATAGTTATTGTCCAATCACTATGATAAATTTTCACATTCGATATTTTTATTATTGTTAAGCTCACTTTGTGAGTGTTTAATCAACCATTACAACATAGCGTTGTAAATAATTGGTGAGAAGCATATTCGTACCAATGTTGCACCGGATACTTTCTGAAGATACAATGCAGAAAATATTAATGTAAAAGTTTCCTCTGTAATATTTACCTAATCAGCATTATTTCCATTAGTGAAATTGCTAGATAATTTTATATACTATTGGTACTTACATTTTAATTCTAACATATTTTTTTCCACAAACTGCTGCTTTTTATAGCTTTGTCATTCTATTAAGTAACATAAGTCTGTAACATATGGACGTTTGGTAAGTCTATGGATTTTTCTAAATACTGTAATGTGATGTGGATTTTAACTTCTACGTTTTGTCTACTTTTGTGTTAAAATTTGATTAAAATATGGATAAATCTTCAGAACTTCATATTATATCACATTCATATCAATTAACCCTTATCGAGCAATTAAACTACAATCTTCCAATTACTGATATTATTATACTTATTATATATTAATTACTGATTTATTTATTTAATATTTGCAATGTTATTTCAGATCATTAAGATACCTATGATTTATTTCCAACAGCGTACCATTGAGGGATATATCTACGCAGCATATGGAACATATGATACGCGAGAACATGGTTACTGATGCAGTGAGTAGTACTTGGAATTATATATTACTAACATCTATAAATATTATCATATAATAATGAATGTTTGTCACTGTTTATTATGAATATGTGTCACTGTTTAGCTTTCAAATAAAGGTGTCAATGGATTCATTCATTCATTCCAAAGAAGAAAACATGTATATTACAGTGTGTGTATGATTGATGTACCTGATGATAAAGAAGATTCTTCTGCTCATGGTAATTTGTTTATAACAATCAGAAACCGATATACATTTACATCCACATCTATATTTATTCTACATGCTATTAACCAAAAGCTATTATTATTTAATACAATATTGCATCTATATGTCCATATATTTTGAATAATCATTGGTACTTGATCTGTATAATTACTTTATTTGTTTAATTATTTTACAATTATTTTAATCAAACACATATTTATATGTTTACAATATATGTACGCGTCTCATATAAAATATGTATACTTATATCAAATACAAAATATAATAATTATCGTAATACAATACAATATATAATTACATTTGCTTTTATTTATGCCACAAAATATATTTTAGATTGTATTTAATTTAGATTGTATTAATAAGAGAAATCTACTCTTTATGCACTGCTACAGATATGTTGCGCTGTATATATATATATATGTATGTATGTATGTATGTATGTATATCATTATTAATACACTAAAAAATATGTGAATAAGACTGCGTCCGGAAAGTTGTTGTGACCCTTTTATTTCCCATGTAATAACATCAGTGCGTTTTATCATCGCATTAATATTTCGTTGTACAAATGTAAAAGAATTCTACCAATACGCTGTCATTAACAGAATGAAACAATTGTCGCGCCCGCTATTAATTCACACGACATCGTCGAGGAAATGACAGATTGCGACCTTTTGTCAAAATTTGTACAAAGTCTTGTTGACCTATAATGACATTATTTATCATTATTTATCATATAACATTTACATACTTATTTATATATATCGGAGCTGTCCACGATTCATCGATGCGTTCGAAGCGTATTGTATTGTATCCTTTTCTTTAACACTTTTGTTATTTCCTACATGTATATATGAAACACAGTTATGTCATAATATAATAAACGTAAAGTACAAAAACGCGCGATATAAGAATCGCGAACGGCTCAGTTCACATTGCTCGACTATCCGTAAGTAACGCAATAATGTATGAAAAAATCACGTATAAACAGTTTTATTCACAAATCACACGTGTTTCAGGATTCGCCTCGACTTAATTCGCGACGACGAATGTCTCGCGTATTTGTTATTAAATGTCTGCCTCGACACCGCTTTCTATGAAGTCTGTCAGGCTGAATAAGGCATTGTCAGGGAAATTCCTGAAACCAAAGTATTTATATATATATATATATTACCGTTATATATTTGTCATCATTGATTATCTCAACATTTTCGGCAAGAGAGTTGACGAAAGGAAATTAATTCGTTAAATATCGAAGATATAACATTTTGAGAAAATAGCAATTCTTGAACATTCGTTATCGTATATTTGATAATTTTGCGAATTACCTCAGCACCGTTCCTAATGACAGAAAATATGCGGGTATTGTTTTCTCTCGAAAACCTCGCCTCTGTGCTCTGATTATTTCTGAGGCTGCTTGCTGCGGTGAAACCAACGGCATGGCATGCGGGTACCTGTTGTTGAATTCGAGGTCTTAATTATCGATAAATAGTAACAATTTTACAGGTGGTAACGATTTAAATTAAAAGGCAAATTCAAGATTAATGCTTTCGCGGTTGAAAAGGAATTCCGATTCATTTGGGTTACTGAATTTAGAAGAAATTGTAGGAACACTCTCGTTCTCTCTCCAAAGTGAACCGTTCAATGGTTGTACACTTTGTCGCGCGCTTCTACACACACACACACACACAGACACACACACATGTGTGTATACATATTTTATTATGGAAAAATTACGACAGCTTACCTCGTATCCAAAAATCTAGTCTGCATGTAAACGTATAATTGGTTAGCAATGTACAATTATTGTAATGCATTCGGCATCATTCGACAGACAAACACACATACCTATTTAATCGAGATATTTGATCTTATGAACTAATAACGTCGTATCGTTGTCACAGACCGACCGAAAGACGCAACATTACGTTTTAATTACTTTGACGCAATGAGACGCATTTCGTTCCATCCAATTGCGTTAGTTAGCACTGTTACTTTATTTAGCAAACTTACTTTATTTTTGGCTTCTTGCACAGCCCAGTGTCCACCATGTACGGATAAATGGTAGTGAATTTGATCTGTGATTTTCCTTTGGTAGATGTTCGTAGTTCCTCGCTAATCGCCTCCATGAGTCCTGCAATATTTCCATTAGCGGACAGAATCGTTAGAAGACTGTCGCAATTTTATTTGCGACATTTCGAATAGGAGGCAATTTTTTTCATTCATTCGCACATGAATGAACGTTTGCGTAAAATGTAACGTTACAATCGTCAAATACGATTACCTCTGACTGCAAACTTGCTGGCGCAATAGGGAACCAAATTTGGAAGGCCACCGAGGCCCGCCAAGGACGAGAGCGCAACTACGTGACCGTGATTTTTTGCAATCATACTTGGTAGGAATGCCTGCAGTATCTGAGAAAATGAGAATAGAATCTTGTTGTTGAAAATGAATTCCATTTCTCACGATTGCAGTTTACAGTATCGTGTCTCTCGTCGTATTTGAAAGAATACCAATAATTGCATTATTAAATCATTGCGAGAAATCATTGCAATTTGTAACATATCAACAATTTTGACACAGCGTGTGTGAAACACCTGGTATTTTGTGTATTAATGAAACTTTTTTTTACGTTTTAATACTTGGATTCACTTACCCAGAAGTGAGCTAACACGTTGACATCGAAGATTCGTCTAATCTCGTCGGTGGTGTGATCGAGGAAAGTATGACAAGGCATTATACCGGCATTGTTAACTAAGATAGTAACATCGCCGACTTCTCTCTTGACCTTAGCGGCTACTTCGAAGACTTCTTCTCTCTTCGATACGTCGCATCTGTGCAACGAGGTGACAAAAAGGTGTCGTCAGAGCTTTCTATCGAATGAATATGCTTCCTAATTGTATCGTCGCTCTCCGCGCGAAATCCTCCTTGATCTTAAAGATCAAGAACATATAAAACAGACATACTTGTACGCATACGCTGTGCTCGACGAGCCCATCTTTTTAATCTCCTTCACTGTCTCCTCGTTTTCTTGTTGATTCATATCCCAACATACCACCGTCGCGCCTAAAGACGCATAACGGAGCGCTAACTCCTTGCCGATACCATGGCCCGTGCCTGTTATCTGTATCAATCAAAATAATCATCGTTACCGCGTTCGCATTTCAGATTAGATTTGAGAAGAAAGCGAGAGACAGAAAACAGAAAAAGAGAAGAGAAAAGATTAATTATTACGACGATAGTATTGTTATATATTATAGTAACACAAGTTATTAATATATATATATATATATATATATATATATACACACAACATACATTTTATTGATAATCTTTTATATGCGATAATATTATATGTTAATGTGCACCCCAATACACACCAAAACGATCTCCCCGACCACGCTTTTCTCTTCCGTTGGCACAAAAAATTTATACACACTTTCGCAGATGTAATATAAAATTTTCAAAACAAGTAGTAAAACATTTGCCAAGACCAATGCGCCGTTGTACGCTTTTATCATGGTTGCTTGATATTCCGGCCTGAAAAATGAATGAGAGATCTTTTCTTAAAAAATTATACATAAATAATATATAACTTCATCTTAGAAAAATAATGTGGTGTATAGTATAAAGAGAATATATGGTAAGTTTTATAACATACGCACACTTGCACACACACACACACACACACACACACAGTTTTAGGAACCATAAGATGAACCATAATGTTAATAGTATTGGTACCGGTACTAATATCAGCGCAAAAAACGTTTTCGTAAACATTTCTCTTATATTTTCTTTCATATTTACGCGAATTGCAAAACATTTTGTATGTTTATAGTAGCCGTTGATTGCAATCTACCACGCAGCTGATCATTGTAACGATCACAATAAAACTTTCGTCAATTTTGCGCATACGTTCAAATGAAGCGACTCAACAACCTTTTCTCATCTATTTCACCTTTAGTTTCTTTCTATTCTTTCTACACACAAATACCTTGGTAATTGTCTTATATAATCATCACCGAGTATACGTTACCGCGAGTTTTAGAAAAAAAAAAAATCTCGGTATCATCTGCTTTTTGAAACGATCGGTTTCTTCTTGTTATTACACGTATCCGCGATATGTTAGTTAGTTGAAAGATTAGTGGGAACAGTTGTCGTATTTGATATTGTATTTCTCCATTATATAACGCTCGTAATATTGTATTTGTATCTTTGTTATATAATGCTCCTTCTTATATGTTATATAATGTGCTACTCCATTGATCCCATCGGCAACAAATTGCGTGTCACATGTATCACACAGAGTCAGTTAACATATAGGTCAACTTTTTATGGGGGTAAGTAATGGGGGGACCCCGTTCGCCCCCACCCGCGCACCAGCGCCCAGATGGCAGGTCTCCTCCAGGAGTTTTAGTGGGTGCAAGTCCCACATAACCTCCGTTTTCCCCCGAGGACGGGGGTACCCATAAGGGGTTTCTCCTGGGTGATCAAAAAAAAAAATAAGGTCAGCTTTTTACCTCATTATTTTCAAATCGTGTGTCATGGTCATCAAGCGACTGCAGCGTCAATTATTTCTGTAATTTTATATTACTCATACATGTCACGCAGCAACATGAGAATGCAAATTCTGTATCAGTTGCGTAATCACAGTGCAACTCGTATATTGTGTGAGTATAATGCAGATTACAACCAACAGCCATCGGCAACTGTTGTGTCGAGAGTTTTTTTCTGTTACGGTACTTAGAATGTGGGCTTGATGTTACATTCAACGATTAATAGTTGTTATGATCATTGCTGCCCATTGTTCCGCGTGACGAAATGTCGTAACGATATTTTTACAAGTAGAATTTTTACAAAATCGTTTGAGTTCGTTACAAAATTGTGCGGAATGTTACTCGCTGATATATGCTGTTAAAAAATCTCGTTGCGACTACCATTATTCCTAGTTCATGTATTTATAAAATTTGTATATCTTTTTATAATATCTGTATATTGTTTTTGCCGATTAACTTCTCTATTTAGAATTTGATTTAGAGTCGACCAATAATACAACGTTTCTCTTTTCTTTTTTCTTTTTTTTATAATCTCTGCCGAGATTAGTATGACTTTGAAAACGGTGTGAGAAAAGACTTTTTGGTGAGATGTTATATAATAGAATAATAAACTCGTAAACATGTAATGAGGCTGAGGGAATTGCTAGAATGATCGCGCCGCAATGTTAATATCGAGCGTAAGAACAATGATTGATTCTTTACTGTGTGTTGCTGCGTGTTCTCTGTACCTTCCCAAAATAATATAAGAGTTAGATGTTGTGTCGCGCAGTATGTGTCTCTCAAGCCTCCTATCCTGTTTAAAGAAATTACAGCAGTAGGGTCACAGATAGCATTATCGCAGTTGGTACTGATTACGTGTCATATCGCGTGCAAGACACAAATGCGATACAGGCGTGCGATACAGGCGTGCGATACAGGCGTGAGGAATGAGATATATATTCGCACGCATAAGCTCCTCACACACATGAGCAGATCGATCGATCCGCAAAGTAAGCATTAATTATTAGCGTCTCCTTGAGAACAAGATGAGATATACGGAATTATTTGTATAAACAACTGACTGTATGTGATTTTTAGAATGAGCAATAACGAGATTTTTTAACAGCATATATTAGCGAATAACATTCCACACAATTTTGTAACGAACTCAAGCGATTTTGTAAAAATTCTCCTTGTAAAAATATCGTTACAACATTTCGTCACGCGGAACAATGGGCAGCAATGATCATAACAACTATTAATCGTTGAATCACGTAACATCAAGCCCACATTCTTTCTAAGTACCGTAACAGAAAAACGCTCTCGACACAACAGTTGCCGATGTGTTGGTTGTAATCTGCTAAATTATACTCACACAGTATACGAGGGTAGTTCCACAAGTACCTGACCTGAACAAAGAAAACATGAAAAGTTTGGGAAAAAATATTTTTATTTTGTCTACATAGTCCCCCCTCCCTTTTAGCTCAATACACTTTTCCCAGCGATGTTCAGCAGTTTCGATATAGTTCCCCTGTTTATAGTGGGAATCGTCGAGCTCCTCGACTCGAAATAGCCATCAAGCCACCTTGGTTCATTGTTTTGACTGTTCCTTCGTCTCAGGTGTGAAGTGATGGACCCATGCTTCATCCATGGTTATAAATCGGCTTTATTGCTGCGAAACTTCGCCGCGAAACACTCGATTGAAACCATTCTCACGACGCTGTTTTTGTTCCAATCGCGGCACCCATCTTGCGCACAGCTCTCTCATGTCCAAATTTTCAGTCAATATGCGATGTATAGCACTTTTCGAAATGCCTAACCATCTGTCTGCTAACTCGCGCACTTTCAGTCGACGGTCACGTCCAATACCATTTGGTGGATTTTCTTCACCATTTCCGACGTGGTCGACCACGTCGACGTGCGATGTTCGTCTTGGCAGCTCGTACGCGGCTCGTCGTTCCAACTCTGCCATCCAATATTTTACTGTTGTAAACGAAGGAGCAGAGGCTCCCCCAGAGTAGAATCTAGCTCCGCTTTCATATTGATTGGACTGAGGCCTTTCAAATGAAAGTATTGTAGCGTAACATAACGATGACCAATTTTTTCCATGTTTACAAATTCACCGAGAGCGTTCACTATTGATGGCTGCCAAACAAATACTAAACAACGTAGCGTCGTCAAACTTCAAACTTAAGCTTCATAAGGTTACTTGCTACTTTCTACCATAGTCATTCTCATCAAACAATAACCGCTATCTATACGTCAGGTCAGGTCAGGTCAGGTCAAGTACTTCTGGGACTACTCCCTCGTATGTATGTATCTTGATCTAGCAGAAGAAAAGGAGCGGAATCAAAGGACGTCTTCTTATTTTTTTGTCTGTTTGCAACATTAGTCACCATTATCGGACAATGGAATATTTTTAAACAAAAGGTAGTCTTCACTTTTTTACCGAAGATAACAGCAGAGAGCATAGAGGACGTCTTCTTATTTTTTGTTTGTTTGCAGCATTAGTCATCATTATCGGACAATGTAATATTTTTAAACAAAAAGTAGTCTTTACTTTTTTTACCGAAGATAACAGCAGAGAGCATAGAGGTGTTTTAGCAGCGAATATCATACTTTTACATCTCTGAATTTATAAATTTTTCAATTTGGAATCTGATATCGGTATCATCCGGAATCAAGTTTCCAATTTTTCTTCTAAAGCTATTCAATCAATTGAGAAGAGGAAGCAGAAGAGAAGAAAAAATGGTCAAATGGAAATTCGAAGAACGTAATTGCGCTACCATATGTCATTTGCAAGATACACATGGCGTTTGAAAAGGTCTTCAAAAAGCAGACCGCAGATCGGGATTCTAAAGTGAGAGTAGTGTAACTGACAAACCGTCAATTGTTAATGTTGAAGATGAATGAGAGAGCGAATCAATTTGAATTTCAAATTTACAGACAAAGATGGGGAGGGGAGGATCCCTTCCCCCCCCCCAATTTTACTCATTTGGAAATGTATGTAACGAGAAGCGAAAGGTTTAGCAGCAGGTTTGCAATTATTTACTTACTTTAATCAGTGGTACAAATACAATACTCCCCCGCGGATCTCCCGGTGTGCACTGACGCGAATGAATTTCGACGAATTATCGATAAGAACCGTCGCCGTTTGCGTACGGACCGCGACTAAACCGCATCTGGCTATGAAGCATTTTCTCAACCACCACCACCACCACCACCACCAATGCAAGATCTTCACTATTACAAGTGCAACAGCTGGTTGGCCTCAGTAGCGACCGAGTGCGTCCATAGGTCGCTGCCATGTCTGTCTATAAGACGACCGCAACTATTATCAGCGCGCAGTAGAAACGACTATTAAAGCGAACTATCTGTGGTGGGTGGTCGTTTGGTCCGCGTCCGCACTTCCGCTAGCGCGTAGCTAGAGTCCGAGGGAAATTATGGCCGTGGTATGGCGCACGCGGGAGCGGAGAAATCGAAGTCGTGACAGTATTTCAGACTATCCTTTCGCGTCTGGAATAGTTGGGCTGAATCGCCGAACTCTTGCACGACATACGACACAGTCGTTTGTAAGTCACCGCGAACATCTCCGTCTCTGCTTCGTGCGAACGATATCACGGCTTAGTCTTTAGTCGTGTTTCTGGGATCTGCGAAAAGATTAATAGTGAGAAAAGGCTCGATTCCCTTGTTCTTCTGACCGGTTATTATGTCTGACGAGGGAACGTTTGGAGCTCACCGGTTTTTTATGGATATATGTTGCGCAGAGAAGCTAAAAATAACACAGACACTAGTACTTCTATTTCCTTTTTCGGCTTCAAAGTTCAAAAGAGTTGAGACCGTGAGATATGTGCGAACAAATGTTTTAGACAAAAGAGTTTACGGTATTACAAATAATTTCGGTATATATTTAGATTAAAAAAATATTTTTTCTTTTTTCAACACAACCCCATCCTTCAATTATTTTTGCAAATTTCGAAATTTTTAAAACGACCAAACTTGAAACACCTACAAATTCTGTACATAACAAGTGTAATTTGCGAATATTTTTAAAACATAAGCTAGACATGCCGCATTGTACGCTCCACGCTATAAATATACGCAATAGGCGCACCGCGTCTATTTTGCACTTGTTGTTGATATTTTCAGCTCAATGTAACACACTCTCTCTCTCTCTCTCTCTCTCTCTCTCTCTCTCTCTCTCTCTCTCTCTCTCTCTGTGTTTATCTATTTCTATAAAAATAATCTGTTTATTAAATCTATGTGCAACAGTGACTTCTATATCAGAAGATTGATGAGACATAATCGAGGACAGATTGTCAGCATAATGGTTGGTATTATCTTGCTTTCAAAATCCAAGATATTTGTTTCGACTTTTTTGGACTTGAAAATATTCACTTGTTATATTACTTTTTTATTATCAACTTATAATATTATTTACTCGCTGACGTAAACTTGTTTGAAATTCTAAACACTATTTATATATGTTATGATATTATTTAAAAAGTCAAGATACCATATTCCAGGAAAAATAGGTTTGCGAGAAACTGATTGGATATCAAGGAGGTGGAATATAAGAAGAATATAAAGCAAGAGAAACGAGAACGTTTCGATAAAATTGAATTGAATAGCATTAAGATTTAGCGATTGGACAAAAGCTAAGAATGCGCGTCACATTTTTTGCAGATTAAACATTTCGGTTCTACGTTTTTCTTCTCTTGTGCGAACTTTATCACGGCTAATCTCGGGACACAGCGAGTTCCAATCTATTGATTGCCTTTGGTTTTAACCGATCTGTCGATCGATAAGGATGCACATGAAGCCTTTTATATACGCGAATCTCCGAATAGAGTGTTACAGATATCTCTTCTTTGTTGTCACGTTGTGCTTCCGATCTCTGGTTCTGCGTTCTGATGCATTATCAGTGCATCAGAAATCAGTATCATCAATATTATAGTTTTCTTGCCTATGTGGGTAGAGAGCGATGGCTCTCTTTTGCGTGTACATTTACTAAAACGTGCGGATCTAATAACTGACCTGTAGGCATTTGTGTTGTTTCGCGTGACGAATGATAAATCTCGCGAGCGTAACTTGCGTTTTGCCTATAAAATACACTCGTCGAATTAAGTTTCAACAGAATACGAACGTGAAATTAATTCTTTTGTATAATCTCAATGTATGTATTGTAATACCGATACTGGTCATCAGCAGACCTTGTATCTGCGTGTTTTGTAATATTGATACGAGAGTATCACGATAGCATTGTCCTTGTGAGAGACATGTTCGTTGACGTCCGACCAATTTACACTTTACATGAAAGTTGTAAAAGAAGGAAGTCGGTTATAGACCTGTTGTTAGTCCGCGGTCTATGTAATATCAAACTAAACGAACGGCAGTCCATTGACCGTTGTTCCTTGTCGCGACTCTATGAATAGTGGAATCGATATAGGGTTCACGAACTCCCTCAAGCAGCAGAGACAAGTTCCTGGATGAAGACGGCTCACGGCCGTCTCGAAAACCTGAAACGGCAAGTGTTGAATTGACCCGTCTGCAACGGCTAAAAAAGTATAGATAACTAGAATCGAATATCAAGAAATCATGTTTTTTCGATTTTATCAGAGACTTGACCTTGACGAATTGACTTTGATGATATTCTTCAAAATCTTTTGTGTCAACGTGATTTTATCTCACGAATAATTAACAAAGAGAAAGAAAAATTAGGCTACACGTAAATTCGTTATTAAACAAGTAAATTGCTTATGTTTAAACGACCATTAATTATAAAAGTAGGGAATTGGATTGTAAACTAAATGATTGCACGTCAAACAGCAAGAAAGCATACTGTTATCGATATTCTCATGACAAAATATCTTTTTGTTTTGTATTTATATATAATGGTTGTTTCTTTTAGTACTTAACTAAAAAATTATTGGAGAATACACAAATATTGTGGAAATTATAAAACATATTTCGAATGTAGCGGAATACAGGTGAAATAAGACAACGAGTCAATGCGGCCCATTAGCTCAGTTGGTTAGAGCGTCGTGCTAATAACGCGAAGGTCGCGGGTTCGATCCCCTCATGGGCCAGTCTTTTTTTTTAGTTTCACCAAGTTTTTCATACAACTATAATATGAATATAAAACATAAAATTTGAAATGTTTCGAGAATTGCATCTTTTTTCCGTTTCATTTCTCACTTATTTTTTCGAGCCAAGTCCGAGTCAAGAAGATTATTTTATCGTTGCTGAATTGCGGAAGGAAATACCTGCTGATACATCGCATGAAAGGATAGTGATCTTCTTTTTCTGAGGACACGATACAATCAGTTGTACATATTTAATGATCGTCACTCGTTTTCGTTGAATATTGCTGTTTTCCCTCCGGTTCGTCCAGTTCCTTCTTCATTCTAATCTATTCGCGATTAGTCAGAAAACTTTGAAGTTTGAAGAAAGCGACGTATTATCTACGATTGTTAATAAAGATGTTAGCTTTAGTCGGGAAAATACTGATCGATGATGCATGTTGTCGACACTTTGAAATTCCGCTTACATCGCGCGACGACTTTTACACGTCCAGCTACAAGCGATCAAGTTTTATGTCACGAGATTTGGTGTGCATAATTAATAAGCAGCTAGTTTATAAATAAAGAAATAGGGGAATAAATGTCGAACGTGCTACCTCGAGAAGAAATCTCGAAGGCCACCAACCGAATGCTCACAGGCGCTCTCGGCAAGGTAGATCGCGCGTTTAGCAAGTTCTTCGCGACTCGCACGATGCAGCGGCAGGGGCAGGGGCAGGGGAGAGGAGCAGCGTGACTCCCGGGCCGGGCAGCCACCTGTCGCGCGCACGCGTACCGAGCGCTCCGCGTGAAGACACCTCGTCGACGGTCGACCGCGAGCGGCGAGAGACGGAACGACCGTCAGTGTCCAAGCAAAATGGCGAGTGTGATGGCGGTTCGCGACGGTTCGCGGCGTGTTTCGTTGACGCTCGCGATTTTCTGAACGGCACGTACGTAATGATGTGATCCACGTGACTCGCGTTGACTTTTGCGGCAAACGTGTGATCGTCGATTGGCGAGTCGAACTGGCCGTCGCGCGTATTTTCATCGGTATAACACATCCGCACGTCCAGCGTGACCAGTGTGTGACCAGAGACACAGTCGATCGGGGAGCAGACGTCACAAACACCCTCCCGTGTCGGACGATCGACGGGGTGACGTCGACGGGGTGCGAAATTTTCCGGAGCTAATCGTAAGCAAGCACTAAAGCACCGTCGTCGCGCGATCGTCTGTCACTTGACACACAGCGTGTTACACGAGCGTGTTACTCGGCGGATCGCGGCGCACGACTTTCGTGTTTTGTTCACACACGGTGCCTCTCGCGCTAGCGTGCGCTTCCTGTCAACGTGACACACCGACGTAAATATCGTCGCGCGTTTATCGACGCTCACGCTTTTGTGGTGCATGCGACGACGAAACGAGTTCTGCGTTATTTTGCGTTCGCGGATAAAGCACGGTTCTACCGTACTATGTAGATATCGTACTATATAAAATTACGCCACGAGTTTCTTCATGGGTATTGTCCTCGTGACACGTTTACACGATCTTTTCCTCGCGCTGATCTACGGTATGTCTACGTTATCGAGAAGACAGACAGAGTCGTACATTTGATTAATTGTTATAATTATGCATGCTATAATTATATAACAAAGCCCAAAAGTAAATACTTGGAGCGAGAAGCGTAAAGTACGAATTAATTAAATGCAAGTTTGGTAACGCTCAACTCTCTCCGAGATGCAATTATTCTAATACGTAGCTTGAGGGTGACTTTCACCAAACTCCGATTAAGCTAATCAACGATTAGCCGACAAAATTACCAGCAACAGCAATTTCTAATTATGTAATTTGTCGTCCACTGATAAGTAAAAAACGTATAACTCTGTTGACAAAAAGAGCAATTGATACCTGTATATACGTGTGTGTGTGTGTGTGTGTGTGTGTGTGTGACACACTGATAGCAATTTAAAATGTAGATGTTATAAAAAGAGAGAAGAAGTTAATCGTTGATTGCCTCAATTAGAGTTTGCTTCAAATCACACACACACACACACTTTGAGAGATGCGAGTGACACGGTAATAGACATATAATTCTAAATATTATATTTTCCACAAGGTCGGAGATACTCTGATTACTATGAATGAATTTTAGTTTCGAACGAAATTCAACGAAAGAGAACGGCTATAACAAAGGCCGTTAAACACATCCATAAATATTAAAATGGCTCTTTACCAGTGGTTTGCTTTTCATCATGTCGAGATTTCTCTGAAAATTACATTATCATGTATTGATTTACTGTTGCCGCGACGGATGTGCACGTTCGTTAAAAAACATGACACGCGTTGAGCACAGCTATCGAGAACTTGAAGAACGTGTAACGAAACACGTTCGAGAGACTCGTTACTGAGACACAAAAATGAGTTACGAAACAATACCGCGTACAATATATATATATATATATATACACTCGTGTTTCCGACAAGTGCCATCTTTTTATATCTCCGATGTTCGAGGCTATAATGAGATTTCACATTCTATCTTGTTTATAAGGAAACCTTAAAAATGACAATAGTCACCGATGTGTGTGCACGATCGCGAATAGCGATGGAACATTACTTAGAGAAATACTCGTCAGAAATAACCCGTCATTCCCAACGTAATTACAGATTTCCTCCTTCCTCGACTGACTTTATTCCCTTTGTGTTTTTCGATAAATACAAATACTCGTGTGTATATATATATATATATATACATACACTGGGATTATATGCTGCTGGATTGAAGCGAAATAATTGAACAGAAAAGCTCTCGACTAAAGCCGTGAGGGTTTAAAAATATACGGGTGCTAGAACTTGGAATAGGAAATTTCGCGATTGGTTGTGCGTTATTGACACGTTTCGCTGAACGACGTTTTATGCGAAAACCGCACGGTTTTGCCCAAAGATCGATGCGTTGCTGCAATTCAGCGTCAGTCCGTGAAATATTTCGCTCCTGCCCAGGAGAAGGACGTCTTTAAACGTAAATTACAACCGAGCGCACAGTGCGCGCATTAAATAGCATTATAAAAAGTTGTCGAGATATTCGAGCTTCTTCAAGTCGTAGCCAACGACACGATATTCTCCGAGCTTCTTTCCCGATCTCTGATGTCCGATATAAATTTGTGTGACAGAAGAAAAGAGACCGAGTGCGATTTTATCGCAAGAGAGCTACATTGTTCAGAGTCGTGCGACTCAATTTGAAGTACACTTGAAGTAACTTAAAGTATTATAAATATACACGAAACTATAAATGAAATTTGAAAAAAAAGCTTTGCTAGGAGACTCTTTCTTGGAAGGAGGACTCGTCCTTGGAAAGTAGGGCATGCGGTCGCTTCAATTCCGTTTCAGTTTTATTCGTACGTATTTAATCTTCGATGCGAGATATGTCTCGAGACAAACGGGACAATTTTCAATCAAACAGATTCAGTCTCATTCGAGTGAAACGCTTGCGAAATCTGCAAAATACAAATTACAGACACGCGACGAATGTAACACAGATTTTACATACATTTGGGAGCTATCGATAAGAATTATTTGTAGCGTTAGCTATACAATCTCTGGTCTATTTTGGACGCACAAAGCTACTTTACATGATCGTCATGTGAGATTGTTTTATTCTTACACTTGTACTAATGTACCGTTTGAACTGTTCCGCAACGAAGCGGTCCTGTGGCGCAACGGATAACGCGTCTGACTACGGATCAGAAGATTCCAGGTTCGAATCCTGGCAGGATCGGGGTGGTTAGAGGTTTCTTTTTTTTTTTTCTAGTTACTTAACATTTTCGTAATTGGTTGCACCATATAATAAATCAGGATCAGGATTATTCGGAAGGAATACACACGACGCACACACAATCGGATAATATACGCAATGCCTAAGTTTGAACGTTATTCAGTTCAGTATTCAGTGTTGATCGTGAAAACAAAAGGCAGATACCCAAAGGCATATATCAACGCTGTGAAAGGTCATATTCTTGAAATTGCTAGATGCGAGATATAATTATTATTAGCAATCGTAGCTTTTGCTTCGCGATCGCTTCGACGAGATTCGTTGAGATCGCACACATTCGAAGGAAACACATTCGCGAAGCGCAACAACACAACGATGTGCAAAGAGAAGAGATTGCAGTCTCAAAGAATGATCAACGACGATTCTACCTCGAGGACAATCGCGGCGCATTGGAACGCGCGGGTCTAAATTGAGCGCAACCAGGAACTAAATTTTTCGCAACGCGAGCAACGCGTTCCTCCGGGGAATGTCCAGAAATAGTCTGCGTTCCTGGCGTGTCGACCTGACGCGCTCGCGTCCACTTCCTTTTCTTTTTCTCCTCACTTCACAGCGAGCATCTCCGTGCTCGTCCGCGCGCGCGCGCGCGAGAGAGAGAGAGAGAGAGGGAGAAACTATGGGAGCGATCGAGGAGCGATTTCAATTCTTTCGCTCGTCTCGAAATTTCCGCATTTTCCACACGTTCGTCTTGTCGTCGAAACTGCTCGAACGTGCCGTTGAGATTCTCATCTCAATAATGTATCTGACAACGAGGAAAAGGCCTGTGTGAGATTATTGAATGTATCGCGGCGAAACCGTCGCCGTCGCCTGCGCGCGTGAAACTGTAACGTTGGCGCGGCGAATAATTATCTGCTCAGCTGTTTCTCCGTCTCACATCCGCGAGGCCTCCCTCCGACTTCCGCCGAGGGTCGTGAATTTCCTTCCGCACAGGAAGTCCCTGTTCCCTTCGTGCGCCGCTCGTCGTGCCACTCTACGTCGTACGACTGGAACGAATTCGAGGCCCGTTCACTTTTCACGTGATATTTAGTCGTTTGCGAGGGCTGACCGTGTCGTTCGGTCGAAGAACCCATTGTCGCTCGCATCGTTATTGTGGCGCGGATCGTTATCGAGGAAACGTAGTTAAGTGAAAGGAGCCTCTTCCTCGTTTCCCTCACGTCGTCTCGAGCTTGCGAGCGGGCGTGAAACTCCAGATGCTACGTACAAATCTCTTCCAACGATACAATGTAGAAAATGACGGCAAAACGGACTCACGACTTTGCCATCATCACGTTGGATGTGCGTCGAGTGTGTGTGTGTGTGTGTGTGTTGCTCGAGGCATTGTGCTTTCCCGTTGTGTCATCGCAGGATAAATCACCTAGCCTAGCGTGAGCCTGCCAATTTGAGTGTGTCGATACACACGTATCGACGCCCCCCCCCCCCCCCGCCCATCAGATTTTGTCACAATGATGACACAGCGGATCATCCAATTCCCGGACGGGCGGAGTTTTCATTTTCTCGCAAACTCCGCTTCAAATCCGGCGACTGTCTCGTGACAAATGTGATAAATGCGGTAAATTCCTCATTCCGCGTGATGTTATCGCTTGTGAATCGGCGTTTAGAGGCGAAATGCTTCGTCGGTTATCGCGGCTTTTCTTCGCGCGCAATGGAGAGTGGTGCGCGTGTTACTATCGCGTCGAGAAACAATCAACCGTTCTCTCTTTCATCCCTCCCCCCCCTCTCTCTCTCTCTCGCGCAATAGCGCCTTTGCGCTCTCTTATCGTTTCGAAATATCAGCGCGCGAAAAGGTTTTACCCGAGCCGAGCGGGTAACTCGTTATTGTACGTTGCGCGTTGGGGCGTTGGGGGACTCATCATCGGAGATTTTGGTCGGCGACGGAAGCAGATGTGCGTGTATAATGTGCGACGCGCGTTGCCGATTGAAGGATATCTATCAGAGCGGGCTTCGTGCCGCGTGACCTACCGAAGCGCAACTGGTAATCCTATTAAACGAGTCCAGTTGGTCGAATATCGCGGCCAAGCCAAGTGATTTAAAGTTGCGCGAGTCGCATTTACCCGCACATGTTTTTCCCATGTTTTTCACAAGCTTTCCTGCAAGCGATCTCGGACTGTCGATTTTCGTCGTGGCGAAATTTGAAACCGCGTTTTGTACACCGCGATCGTTTCCAAGGGGGATCGGCTGCGATGCGTGAACAGCGTGAAACGTGTCTGTCGCGTCGCGCGACGTTCTTCTAGATCTAGAGCTCGAGATTCGACGTGGAGCAACGTCGGGCCGTAGAGGAATGTCGGTCGATTGAAACGTTGCTTCATGATGAAATTAATTTTGTTGATTGACTTGCCAATTACTTTCAATTCAATTAAGATTTTTATCGA